TGTCCTCTGCATTAACTACTTCATGCCATGACTGTCTTGCATTATGGTATAAAGTTCATTCCCCCTTGCTATTCATACGCCACATCGTACAACTACATCCTTGAGAGAGAAAGAGAAGACGTCAAACCCCATCACCATCTATCAGCACAGATCAATACCGAGGTCCAACTCTCACCCATATTTCTGAGTCCTACGGCTCCACTTGGCCGTCTTCCCCAAATTAGGACATTGCGCCCCTGTGTTGACCGTTGCAGCGAATAGAGATTGCGCTTTCAGTCGTATCCTGGAACGGCTCCACTCACCGGGAGTGGAGTCAAGCCCAAGTCCAGCCAGCATCGCCATCGATGGTTTCCTGCACTATCAATGCCTTCCCACCAGCACAAGGAGCAGTGAATGGTCCTGACTAATCTTTTTTTCTGAGGCAGTCGCTTCGCCCCGACAGGAAATCAGGGCTTTTGTCCTTTTTTTGCCGGTCATCCGAGAGCTAGCTGCAGCAATGGGGCCTTGTTCGGAGCTGAACCACCACTCAGGGCGAACGAGATCAATATCAAGAAATGGTACGATAGCTGGATGCATACTTAGCTCGGAAATTTCAACACTTCGCATGTTAATTCGTGCATCTGTGCGTCTCCGGGACTCTCGCGGCATCGTAGATAGGCCCCCAACTCGGCCGTGACCAAAATCTTTATATTGACTATCGTTCCCGAGTCCGTTCCGCTTCTGCCAGTCCTCCTTCTCAATCCATCCTCACCCTCAAGAGTCTCAAAATGGTCGCCCTTCAGGCTCTCAGTCTGGGCTTGCTGGCTTCGCAGGCCTTGGCCTTCCCTGCTGCCTCTCAGCAGGCCGCTACTGCTACTCTGCCTACCACGCGTCCAGCTCAACCGCGGTCGCCTCATCCCAGCTCGACCAGCTGGCCGACTTTGCATACAACGTCACCACCGACAGCGTCACCGGCGGCTCCGAGAGCAAGCGTGGGGGCTGTACCTTGCAGAATCTCCGCATCCGCCGCGACTGGAGGACCTTCTCCAAGACCCAGAAGAAGGACTACATCAACTCTGTCCTGTGCCTTCAGAAGCTGCCTTCACGCACCCCGGCTCACCTGGCCCCGGGTGCCAGAACTCGTTATGATGACTTCGTAGCCACCCACATCAATCAGACCCAGATCATTCACTATACGGTATGTCACCAAATAGGCGGTCTTCCATCAGATGACATGATATTGACCACGGCATAGGGTACCTTCTTGGCTTGGCATCGCTACTTCATCTATGAGTTCGAGCAGGCGCTGCGTGATGAGTGCAGCTACACCGGCGATTACCCGTAAGTTTAGCTAAGAAATCCTCTCGGATCTCAATACATAAAACTAACAATAAAACCAGCTACTGGAACTGGGGTGCCGACGCCGATAACATGGAGAAGTCTCAGGTCTTCGACGGCAGCGAGACCTCATTGTCGGGCAACGGCGAGTACATCCCTAACCAGGAGGACATCAAGCTGCTCCTCGGTAACTACCCAGCCATCGACCTGCCCCCCGGCAGCGGCGGCGGCTGCGTCACCAGTGGTCCATTCAAGGACTACAAGCTGAACCTAGGCCCGGCCGCCCTGTCCCTGCCTGGCGGAAACATGACCGCGGCTGCCAACCCCCTCACCTACAACCCCCGCTGCCTGAAGCGTTCCCTCACCACCGAAATCCTGCAGCGATACAACACCTTCCCCAAGATCGTGGAGCTCATCCTCGACAACAACGATGTCTGGGACTTCCAGATGACCATGCAGGGCATTCCCGGCAGCGGCTCCATCGGCGTGCATGGCGGCGGTCACTACTCCATGGGCGGTGACCCCGGTCGCGACGTCTACGTGAGCCCCGGCGACGTGGCCTTCTGGCTTCACCACGGCATGATCGACCGCGTGTGGTGGATCTGGCAGAACCTGGACCTCCAGAAGCGCCAGAACGCCATCTCCGGCACTGGTACCTTTATGAACAACCCCGCCTCGCCTAACACGACTCTGGACACCGTTATCGATATCGGCTATGCCAATGGCGAGCCCATCGCGATGCGCGATATCATGAGCACCACTGCTGGTCCTTTCTGCTACGTGTATCTGTAGATGGAGACCATTCCACGCTACCATTCTGTTTCTATTCTTAGCCCGGGATCCCACGGACAAAAAGCCATCATAAATAGACAGTCACCTATGTACATCATAAACACAAAGGACTAGTAGTATAATAATAGACCCATGAATTGTATATAACCACCGTTCCTGCAATCCCACTTCTCATCCATGCTAATCGATCCTCAACAAACTAAACACTCCACCCAAACATAGTCAAGATCTGACCCTCGACTAATCTTTGCCTGGAACCCCCACCTCTAGAACTATCGACGACAAAACCTTGGAAGCATAGACCAGCCGAGCATCATCTCAACCACGGTTGGCCCTGAGAATGTCTCATAACACGATGTTTAAAAAATGGGGCCGGTTATCCTTGGCGTGGACGTTTTCATCTTAGCTTTTGTTGCATCCGTGGATGGGCTTATTTGCTGTGCTTGCTTTTTTTCCGAGGCGGTTTGGGGGCGTTATCGATCAGAGTTGTTGTCGATCAAGCTATGGAAATGGTTTGTTTTGGAGACGGATATACCGGATGTATTCATTATGTATTGAGCATGGTTCTGGATTAGTTTTGTAGAACCTAAGGTCATGTGATGGGTAGGCGCTACAATATCTATTTTCTATAATACTTTCTCTTGTCCACTTTCCAAATTTAGTATATTTTGTTTTATTTCAGTGGCTGATAATGGCTATATACTCTTTCTTTATAGAAGGCCGAGTAGGATAAAAAGAAAAGCAAAGCTCGCGGTAAACTCTGTGAATAGCGGTGCTATAATTAATACTAAAGCGTATTGATAGACAGATATCTAAATGTGATTTCGGCAGTGTAGGGTTCATATTAGGCCGAGCGAGGTCTCCGAAGGGCTTCCAAGCTTAGGGGTGAGTCACTCGTAATCGATCTAGTACTATACTAAGATACTAAATCTATGTAGGCCAGCGGGCTTCGGGATAGGTAGTACAGGGAAGATATGTGGTGTTCAGATCACTAGGGGGGTTGCATGTTTGTTCGAACAGAACGAATCGCTTGAGGATTAGAATCCTCCGCGCGGTCGGAATCTATTTAGGGCGATTTAGGGCGCCGGCTGGTCATCAGATCACCCTGAGGAGCCCTTCTTCTCAGCTGCTGATCTAGAACAGCCCCCCGATCCACCCAGCCAGTCCAAATACTCTGCCATTTCTGACTACCTTTCCTGCGTCGCGTATGTCTTCCGATGACAAGGACTCTCCTGATCATAGAGATGGAAAGCCCCTTCTTCTGCTCTACTACCGCTGGGTGCTGCAATCACTCACTGTACTAGCCTTTCTATATAAACACGGGGTCTATCTGATAGATTCCAGCCCGAGCACAATATAGATACGCGATAATCTCTCGATTGTACTGTCAGAATTTGTAAATACAACTATTCCAATAGATAAATAGCCCTACTCTCCCGACAGAACAAGATCTAAAATAGAAATCTATTACCCAATCAATCCCGACAGTAGATACCCAGAGCTCAGTTCAAAGATTAATCTCTTGGATTGGGCGAGCTTTATTTAGTAATTGATACAAAAGAATACATCCAGTTATAGAGTAAAGAGATAGGTAATGTCTCCCGATCTATTAGATCCGACAGAGATACCCGGGGAGATAAATATATAGAAGTTTTATAAGTAACGGCTGAAGGCGGGTAAGTTATAGTCTTTTAGAACAGGAACGGTTGGGCCTGATGTTGGTTAAGGCCTGGAAGAGAAAAATATATAAATACTCAGAAAATTCTGTAAGAGATATGATCATATTTTTAGTAGATTAGGGTTCAGATGGACAGAGAGGATAAGATCCTTCTAGATAATGGACGAAAGTGGGAGGATGTATCCACGGTTGTTCAGACAGATGGCGCCCGCTGGGGTCGGGAGATTGGATATAAATAATAATCTAGTTATGGGTCCATCGCTCGAATACCAAGCTGAGTATTCTAGCTAATAAAGGTATGAAATTTAAGATATATTATAAGAGTTACTATAGGCACTCAGTGGAGAATGGGAGTGGGTATCAAACAAAGACATTGAGATAAAGCAGGAAATGGTGATAAGAGTGCAAAGCGCGATCATGCAATATCACCAACAGTAAGGGTAATCCTATTCCGGTTGGCGAACTTGGGCCAAGCAATGGACTGGTAGCAAGAGACGTCTTGCTCGGCTACAGATGCTACGTGATTGAGGCCTTTTGAAGTTTCTTCCTGTCACTGTCACGGTGTGCCTGCGGGCACACCTACCAGTCCCTGCCTGCCTGAATCCTGAACATGCTTACATATGTGAGTGCAGGACAAAAGCCATTGGCTTTGTATCCTAGTCTTTTGCCGATAGCACAGCGGTTAAGCTTCTGAATGCACCTCGAGCTCACGCCGCGACACTTCCATATAAGCACTAGCAACTCTACACCGTATCATGAGCGGGTTGGCTCTGGATGGGCCCAATACTAGGGAAAAGACCTGAGTAATAGAGATCATATGGTACAATAGGATCCAGGATAGATGACCGTATGTACTATTCTCACGTTATGAGAGTTGGTCTATAACAATTTATACAATCGCTGTTGGCTTTCTACTTCAAGAGCAGCGGTCTATATGTATCAAATCATCACACTATATAGAATGTCTACGACGGAGAGGCAGGGTCCTAAAAGTGTACAGCTGAAAGTGATCGAACTTGTAGAAATTTTACCCTCCGGCAAAACTAGCCCATGAATCCCCACAGATCAACACCACCACATGGTTAAGCCGATCCCCTGATCCAGATAAGATAGTCTACTAGTCAATCAATACCTTAATCATCGTCTTTCTAAGCCGGCAACCCCATCCAACCAGCCAATCACCGCATCTCCCATCTAACTTATCTAAAGATCATCACTTCCTCTTCCGCCCATCAGCAAGCAGCATCCCCGTCTCGCGTTCCTGTCGCTGAATATACCAAAAGTAGATCCCGTAGACCAGGTCAAAGCCGAGGAAGACAGCACAGCACCAGAGCATGAGGGGCTGACCTAGGAAACCGAACTTCTCGGGCCAGTATCTCACCCGCAGGTAGAATTCGGGGACGAGGGTTAGGGAGCCTGAGAAGCGGAAGAACCTGTTTCATCATTCAGTGGGGATGTTTGGCTTGGGATTCTTGCTTTTTATATCTTTCTTGTGGAGGGAAGTTGATAATGAGGATGAAGGGGTATACACCTACCACAAATCCATCGAAAATCCCCTCGTACTTCCCCTGTGAATCAAATTCCCAAGATATCCCACACTCAACACCGCCTGGCACACAATCGCATCGACAAAGAAGGCCTTCTCAGGCCCCAGCTCCGAGGCAGCGCACATATGCAGCGCGACAGAGACTACCGTCCCGACCACATAGAACCAGAGGAGGTGGCGCTGTACTAGGGGCGAGCGGCCCCACTCTCGTGCACCGTGGGAGATGGCCGCCCAGATGACGAGGCAGTTTGTGGGTAAGGTGACGATGAAGGTCGCGCAGACCTTCCAGTCGTCGATGAACATGAGGCCGAAGGTTAGTTCCCAAGCGATGTTGAGACATTGGGAATAGAGGGGCATGGCGTAGGACTTGTCTTTTATGGAGCGGTAGATCATCCCGAAGTAGACGTAGAGCCAGGAGGCGTTGTTGTAGAGGTTCAGACAGAGCATTAGGGTGGTGTAGGCTTGGATTTCGGGGGGTGCGTTGGTGAGGTCGAAGCTTTCCATCTTGCTGGTTGTGTGGTGGTAGGCAGTGCGGGTAGGAGCTCTAGGAGGATTTGTATAGTATATCCTGGGGTCCCTTTATACTATAAGGTCGGAGCAGTCGATTGCATAAGCGGCATAACGCAGCTTAATCTGTACTCCATCACTTGTGCTACAATCATCTCCATATTGGGATGACGAGAGATACACAATCTAGCATTCGGAGAAACTCTCAGGCGCATGACATCAAAGCTGACTAGTTCAAGCCCCAATCCCTCATCCTTTTATTCGAGGACTTCATTCTCATTGCTTGTGTACCACGCTCATGGCTGCTCGTGGCATCCGAGTTGGGAAGTCAATACGAGGTCCCCATCAGATATTGCCAATGTATCCCAGACTAGTAGACCCCTTAGTTTGACGCAGGGTGTCATAAAGGTCCTCAAGCTGATCTTGGAGTCTCCACTCGTGCCGATGGGTCAGGTCTTATGTGGAAGTATATACGGACATCCAGGTACTGCGCACCGGACGGGTCGGAAAGACACTGTGCCGAATGCGAGACAGATCCAGGGATTGACCAGGTTTTTTTTTTTTGACAAGCGCCAGCGATTGGGGCAGACTCGATTGTCAATGAGATGACAGTTGCCGTTATAATGGTGTGCCGAGTCAGTAGTCAGATTTCAAATCAAACCTGACCATGTATGTATGAATGCATGTATAAAACCTGAAGGTTAAGGTACAGTGGTCGGGGTTTAATGTGGGAAACAGCGGGAAGAAGGGAAGAGTGAGTGCACACATGTTCCTATAGAAGCGCCACTGCAATGAACAATCGACACAATAATTCCCCTCCGCCCAACTCAGTAGGTAAACGTAAACCCCGGATGATCATCCCCCAGATTCTCCAACTCCTCCCTGGGCAACTGATACCGATAATCTCTCCCACCCCTTGCCCTCACCCGATTCTCCCTAACCAAATAGCCCAGGAACAGCACACAAGCAATCCCACAAACCCACGTCATGCCCAGACTAACCCCATACCCGGTGCGATACCCCGGCGCCTCCTCTTCAAAGAAGATATTACTGGCGACCAGCCCGCCGCAATTCCCAAACCCAATCTGCATTGCCGATGCGATACTCTGCTTGTAATGACCCGCCATGTTGTTGCTAAGCCAGCCCATGAGGATTGGCTGCGTCAGGTACCCGCCGCTGGTGACGGCGAAGATGGCGAAGTAGCGGGCGCCGACGGGGACGGTGGATTGCGCCAACAGGATTACGTAGCCCATCGTTGCTACCAGGCAGCCGGTGAGAGTGAAGAGGTAGCGGTGGCGGAGGAGGTCGCTGAGGAGGGCGGCGGAGAGTGTAGTGATGGTTGCTACGACGTATACTGGGATGCTCATTACCTGAGCGCGGACTGCGGTCCAGCCGAGTTGGTGGAGGATGGTGGGGGTGAAGAAGGATACGGCGTAGCCTGTGTTTACGATGCCGAAGTACATTATCGGGCTGTTTCATTGGGTTTGTTAGTGAAGTTTAAGAAAGGAAGGCATAGGGATAATGATACTAACCCAAGGTAAATCTTCGGATCCGAGAATGTTCGCCGCATCGACTTCTTATCGAATCGGTTCATTCTCGCTTCGCCCTGGTCTTCTTTCAGACGGGCGAGAAGTAGAGCTCGCTCGCCATCATCTAGGAACTTGGCCGACTCAGGCCAGTCCACGATGATGAATTTGGATATCACCGCTATCACTACTGTGGCTAGGCCTTCGATGATGAAAATCCAGCGCCAGCCTTCGTACCCAGCTATTCCGGACATGTTGTTGATGGCGTAGGCGAGGAGCTGAAATCATACTAGCATCAGCACATATCACATATCAGTCCAAGCTGTAGGGTGTGGAACAACATACACCACTGACCGCACCGGCGATGATGCTGGCGCTGAAGAAGAGGTTAAGTCGCCATTGGAGTTCGTGACGACGATAGTACATGTTTATTAGGTATACCGCGCCTAAATCGATTGTTATTAGATGAAAGTATGATAGTACGATAATAGAAAGTTGTAGCTTACCAGGCATGAAGCCAGACTCGAAGAGTCCTATTAATACCCGACAGGCTACTAAACCACTGAAACTGGCCGTGACGCCTTGACAGATCGTGATGGTACCTTTATAACGAACATCAGCATCGAAACGTTCAAGCAATTGCAGTCTTTCTCAGACTACGCAAGAATTCAAAGTCAATCAAGAAACGAACCCCATGCAAACATGATCCCACTCAACCACCACGATGGCTTCACCCTCTTCAGGATCATATTACTCGGTACCTCAAATAGGATATACGGAATGAAGAACACAAACAGCGCGATATTATACTGATGCCCGCTCATGCCCAGGTCATCTTCCAGACCCATCAGCCGTGCATTGCCGATGTTGATACGGTCCAGGAAGGCGAACATGAAAAGGAGAGTAAGAATGGGGACGACGTGGAGGTCACATTTGCGGAGAAGTCGTTTCTCGGCATCGCGATCAGATCGGTCTGGTGTTTCCGAGGAGGATTTGATGTCTTCTATTGTGCAATCGTCTACTTTTTCGGGGCCTCTAGACATGGCTTATGGGCATGGTTGTTCGTCTCCTGTGGAGGTGGAGTGGTTGTCAGGTTACATTTACGTTGCAAGGTCGTCGGGTCATTTTTATGCACGTCGAGCTGCAATTCCAGCTCCGCAATGTTCAGAGCTCCCCCGCAAAACCCAAAGCCGTAAGAATTACAATTCCGCATTTCTTACCGGTCTTCCGCCCTTGGGGGATGTTGTTCGCCAAGAAGGCGGACGAGTCTATTCGACGAAACCTTTAGGCGAAGGGATAAATGAAAAACGAGGGCGGCGAGCTTAATTCTATTTTATAACCAAGGGTTGTGGATTGGTCCACCGATCGTCCAAGAGTGCGGGGAAATTCCATGGCGATGCTGTTCTAAAATCCGGGGTTCGAGATGTGTTTGGACTGCGGAACGACGTTCCGCTCAGATGCCAGAGACGTGAGGCGCTAGGAGGAGGAAGCTCCCCGAGGTTTGCCAGAGCCAACTCCTCCTTTATGTGAGATACTATCGCCTGTATACTGTCCTCCTCCACTCAACTGCTCCACCTGAATCCCCATAACTGTCAGTCCTGGTCGTTCTATATTCCGCATTGCATTCCCAGGATGAGATTGCCACGCCCTCAACGTGGAACACATATTCGTAGCTGTAATCAGGGTGGCCAGTCTCCCATCTAATGTCCCCTTTAGCGCGGACAACATATTCCTCGCGCCCTGAAGCTCCATATTCGAGGCGCGGAGAACCCACGAGTCTCAATTCGTGCGATGGTTGAGGAGCTTCTTCCAGCTCTACATCCGCATTCGAATTGAGAATGAATATTTGCACCTTGCCGCTATTGGTGCCGGTTTTGCCAAGCCGATAGATCGATCGAACCGATGGCCTCAGCGTTCCATCGACTCGCTTGGCCTCGTCGTAGGCATATTCCCTTTCATACTTCGGATATGTAGGATATATAGGGGAAAACCTTGCCGTGCCTATTTCCTCGCTGTTGTATCTCGAAGAGACCCGTGAATAATTCCAAGTTCCGTGTAACGCTCTGAAAATAGCCCTGGTTAACCCAGTTCTGGAGGTATCACTGTCGTAGGCGAGCGTGTCTCTTAAAGAAGCCAAGGCAAATTGCGACTCGGCCAGCATTGAAGGCTTCGTTTGTCCTTCAGCCATATACCGAGTAGGGAGAACCGGTCCAAGTCTTTCGCCAGCCTCCGGAAGTGGGGTCCGAGGGATTCCCATATCCCTAGCAAGTGTCTCCATTAACCCCACATAATCTCCCATTGGGAACTGACCCCGCGAGTCTGGATCCGTACTCTTGTAGTCACGCATACTTTGTCTTTCTTGTGCCTTGTTCTCCAATTCCTCCGTTGAGAATTGGATCCCTTGCCCCGAATCAGCTCGATACCAAGATTCTGCAACTCTCCGCGCTTGCATTTCCATGACTCCCCAGTAGGGCCCTCGGTAGAGTCCCACGAATCCCATATCCGGGACTTCTGCATTGGAGGTGCCTTTCTCATCCAAAATGAGAGGGAAGTAAGAGTCTTCGGCTGAATACTCGAGTTTGGAAAGTACGTCTTCTGGAAGAAATGAGAGGGAGGCAAATGGCGTGAACCCGGTGGCTGTGATTATAGCTGTGACGTTTTCAAGAGTGGTCATTTCACCACCTGGACCCTTAATGTCAACGTTTGCCTGACCGGACTGTGTGCAGTTTACAGCACAAACACGGCCGATCGTAGGACGTACTGAGCCCGATTGCACGTACTCTGCGTAGTCGTCGCTTATGGCTATCAATGAAGGTTGTGTAATATTTGTACCATCGCGAGAGTCAACGCCGACATTCCCATAGCCTGCATGTTGGCCACCTAGCAAAGAAAAAAAGTATTCATTAACCTTGGTCTCTTGCTGCGACGAGACAGGCCCAAAGTTATACTGGACTGGTCCCGGGGGACGTCTGGCCAGGTCATGCAGGACAAGATCCAGGGGTAGGAACTGCACCGATTTTGCCTGGGTGTCGTCTTGCGGAGCAGCGTATGGCAGATAATAGGGTATCGTCCAGAAGGGCCGTGTACAGATATGATGGACTTCGTAACCACAATAATGGGAGGCAGTAGCACCAATACTGGAAAGAAAAAGTGCAAGCGCCGAGGCAGCCTCGCGCCCGATATACTCCCTCCAATGACGACCAATTTACCATTACCACCCTTGGTGGCACCACACTTTTCAAGCATAAGGCGTATATCCTCTTCGGTGTGAATGGCGGAGCTGTGAAACACCTTCTCGGCAAAACTAGGTAATCCTGGGAGATCTGGGGTATACGGCATTGAGAAGTAGCCAGAAGCGACAATGAGGTAGTCAAAGGTTTCTGACTGCACTCCCTGGTCCGTTGAGCTTTCTTTTATCTCATTATCCCTATCCCTCCCAATTAGCGCTCTTCAAAGAACCCATGACCGAGACAAACCTTTCCAAGATCCATTGTATGGTCCACGACGGTCTCGAACTTCCGCTCGTCTCTCGCGTCGATCTAACCACCTTATGTCCCAGCCTCAGCGTCTCCTTGGGTATATAGCGTTCCGCATATGTCTGCAAGTACTTGCCCGCTTGCCAGGCCTGCGGAAACATAGGAATATCTGGGCCATCAATGACTGACTCCCAAGCCAGATCAGAGAAGGTCACGGTGAATCGACTCTGATTCGTCGGCATCGACGGGTCCACAAACCCATCGCGAGGGCGTCGTCGAGGGGTTGTTGTTTCATTGGTGGTGTCGTGGGGATCAATCGGCCAAAGACCCCCTATTTCATGACTCTTCTCGAAGATAGTGGGAGAAAAGGTTCCCTTGGGGTAATTGTGAAGGGTGGTTTTGGCGGCCACTAACCCCGAGGGCCCCGCTCCTGAGGTCCGTCAGCAGATGATCTTATCGGTAATTCAGTGAGACAATTCTCATCGGTGAAGATGCTGGTATGATACCAACCTATTATAGCAACTTTCTTCGGTCGGGACATCACTGCTGTAGGCTTCTCGAGGTCATGATATTCTACTATTGTTGCGCCCCGAATATTAATTACCCCTCCTTTTAGTGGATCGAGGGGACCTGACCCGGCCTTGAACTTTGCCCAAGGCGGCTTAATCTGGACGCTGCTACATATTCCTGCATGCTGTGGCAGCTTTTACTGCATATTCTACCAGGGCAGCATGAGTGATGTACACAAGCGGTTACCTATCTATATATACATATCTTTAGAGTGAGATATGCTCCTCTATCCAATGCCCATTCAGGCAACAAACAACCAAAAATCGAACAATTACAATTAATTAGTAGGAAAGTAGCTGTCTACAGTTGAACTCCATCCATGCAGTGGGTATCGGTTAACAAATCAAAGTGTAAAGAAGAAGAACAATAAGGTAATAATAAAGATAGGAGGGTATAGGGACCAAGAAATGAAGGTAGAGAAGAAAAGAATAAAAGAAGCGACCCGAGCCGCGGATCGAACGCGGGACCTCTCGCAGGTATGCTTATGCTTAGGCCACCTCGGGCCTTCCTGCTGAAAATACTGCCTTATGGGAGGAGGCAGGATGTAGGTATCGCACAGTGAGGCTTGCAGCACTGTGCATGACTTGGCGGCCGCGCCCAGTGCAGTGACGTTGTTGCCAAGGATAGATTTGGAACTCCACTGGAACATAGCCCCTTAACACCATACCATGTATTTCCCAACTGAGACTTTTGGGAGGTATTTCCCATGGCATTCCCGGTCCCCGACGCGTAAGCGACTGATGATCAATACCGACTTTTGGGTAGAGGTCCAGTCGTTTCAGTATGCATGTCGACAATAAGGGCTAATAAGGATCAAGGGTAAGGCGGAAGTGTCGTCGATCATTAGAAGGAGGTTGTCAATACGCCAGTCGCTCAAGCCACGCGGAGACATGCAACTCGTTGCTATGCTTCTCGGGATAACAGGCTTCGGTGAACTGCTGCTCCGTGACAAACGTGTCCACGTTTCTTTCCGTCAAGGGAATCTTGTAACGGTTCTTCTGCCTCAAGAGTTCCCTCTCCGCGCGTGCTGAAGGAGACAGCTTGTGTAGAGTGTTGCGGATTCGCCGGATGCCGCCCTCAGGGAAGTGTAAGTGTGAGATACGAGGCGGGCCGAACGGCGTCTCAACCCGCCAGGGGTCCTCAGAGGCGATAGACCGAGCATTCTTCTTGCGTTGTTGGGAACGGAATTTGTTGGACATTCTGACGATTATATGGGACCGGAAAACGTAGAGTGGAGAGGTTGGAAGTGTTCATAACTCAAGCAGCGCAGCAAGAAAAGGGGTGTGAGAGGAAGGCTCGAGGGTGGAATATATATGTTGGCGGGTCCGCCGGCGGGGGCTCACTTAGTGACTTGGGGCGAGACGTGAATCCCGCCGCAAGAGCAATGGGGGGGTGCGGGGATCTTTCGCTCCAAACCTTGGGAGGGCGACTTCCCAATGCAGCGGCTCCGAGGAGATACTAGTTCGTAGCATGCCGAGAAGATGTGGAGAGTGACACACAGGGATTTGCAAACTGGCTCGCCATCGACTTGGCAATTAAAGTAAAGTCCTGGTGATCGTTGACATTGACTTTGCCTTCGCTGTGTCAGTTTCCCGGACGATCACGACCAGGAGATAGATAATTCACTGGAGCTTTGCAGTCCCACCACAAGGTGTTACTAGGGTATGATTGTGCTGCGATAATGACCATATGGTGCCCAGAGAGCCATAACGTCATTGGATGACTTGGACATCCCCACTAGTTACTAGTCGATCCATTACCATGTCGATCATCAGGAATGGGCTCGAACCAAGACTTTGGGGGTGATTTAGCTGAAGGAACAAGAGCAACGACGTACATACATGATCACGTGGCACAGCAAAGCCCCAGTCGAATCAGTACATGAATCATCACAATTGTGTCGTGCAACTTAATGTGCCTGGTTTCCGCCTGCATGTTTTACATAGCCAGCCGATTTGGGTGGCGTTGAATGAAGTAAGGTTGACTTGCTCTACCAGTTAAGTACTGCGTATGGTAAAACTCCGTCATTACGAAGGATCTGTCCGCAATCGGATAAGGATACACGGTGCATGAGGGATGCACCTTGGCATGGTAATGATCACCGTCAAGGGGTTCACACAATGGTGGCTAATTATAGTATGACTTGCCTCTGACTACAATAATACAATTTGAGTTATACAGAACACAGGCAACCGTTATATTAGATGTGGTTAGTCTAGGTATCAGGGATGGAAAGGGATAGAAGATAAGGAAGAAAGTCGTATTGTAGGGAATGTTTTTTTTTTTTACTACAATAGTACACAAACGTCATATTACCCCAAAGTGGAGACGAATTCTATCATTCACCCATCAAACGTTTGTGCACGGGTACATACTGTACTAGCATTTGGCTATGATGTTTTATATACTTCGGTTATCCTTCCCTCTTGAATTTGCAGACCACTTGATCTCCAAATGGTCATGCTAGAAAGGCCTGGAACACGTCTAGAAAGAAGAGAGGAATTTCCAAGTGCGGGGTATGTAACGAACAGCCCTCCGTGGGTGTCTAGAATGACCTACGATTGAATCAATATCTCTGAGGGAGGGGTACGCCGGGAACGCGGCAAATCTTCTGATTGGATAGTTAACGTCAGAAGACTCAACATGCTAGTAGTACAGTAGTACCAGTACCAGCCGTAGTCAATCCGACCCTTGGGAAGTGCCAGTGTGTATCTTCTTTGGGAAGGCAAACATGCGTGCACAATCTCCGTCTCTTCATTGGAAGTCCCGGTCGATTGGCTTTGCGATAGGATTTTGGTCCGCTGTATGCTTAGGTTGCAGTGCACGAGTAGGTATACTACTACTAGTACTCCCCAGCCTTGTAGCCTGTAGACAGTCTTTTTCTCTTCCCTATGTCTGTCGCTAGACTCCATTTCATGGCGGATTTATTCTTTATAATACGGCCAAAGCTCCTACCTAGCAATAGATCTTGCCCGGACTTGAAATGTGCGTTGGATCCGAGAAGTAATCGCAGTCATACGCATACAGTTATACCGCCGCACGCATCACTTGGTACACATTATATGGCATTAATCATTTCTTGTCGTCCGATGCAAAACAACAGCCCGTACACTTTGGAGAATTGTTAATTAAAAGGCAAAGGCAACTTTTCTTTCCAGATACAGATTCCTTTAATACATATCAGGTCTGAGCCGCCGATTCTGCGAGTAAACCTCTACGAAATTAATAAATCTTTGACACTCATTCCGATCTTCCTTTGGGTGTCTTGTAAGGAGTACTGACGGTTTCCCAGGATAGGCTTAGCATGCTCTTCATGCGGCGAGCCTATACTGCCGCGGCAATCTCGATTCAACATGAGCAGTGCAGCCGATGCTTCATGGTCCATCTCTGCTGAAGACGCATGACGAATCTGCGCCTGGAGCACCGGTGAGGGATTGGTAGATGTTGCTGCCCAGGATCCACGGGACGACCGTAGAGCGCCATCGCAAGGGTGGGTCGGGCCCAACGCTGGGCTCGGTAGGATGGAAGAGAAATCTATAGCTGTGCCCGTTGAGGGGATACGACTGCGAGGCGAAAATGCCGGTGAGGTTACGCTGGTGGGACATCCACTGGGAAGTATGTCGGGAGATACGGAAGCCGAGTATGTACTGCCGGCAACTTCCCCTAGAACCTCAGGTGACGATGGCGAGGGAGGAGCAGGTGGCATGCGTTGGGGAACAGTCGTTTGACTGTCCCCCGCAGTTTTAAGATCATGTATACATTGCTCTAAGTAATTAACGTAGTCGATGCTTGCCTAGAGCCCAAGACCCATTAGTTAACCAAAATAGGATATGTATTGCGAGTGATTACCAACCTGCAAAATGGCAAGCTTGTGCATGTCCTGACCCCTACAAGCTGGGATCATGTCTTTCAGGGTTGCAAATTCTTCGTTCATCTTAGACCTCCTTCGCCGTTCAATCAAGCTATGCGCCGTCTTGCGAGCAATCTTTCGACCGGCTGCGCTCGTAGCACTAGGCTGTTTCTTCTTGGAGGTGGCAGGAGACGTATTGTTATTGTTTGAGGTGCTTTTGCCATTTTCCTTGGAGGGCTTATTAGTTGTGGGTGCTGGCTTGGTTTGACCTTGAGTCTGTGTCTTGGGCTTCATTTGGATGATTTTGCGGGTGCGAGTGGGAGGGGGTGGGAGGTCAAAGTCTTCTAGTGGTCGTTTGATACCCGTTTGACGGGGAGGGTTTGCACCGCGTCCCATGTTGAGATCTGGGGAAGTTGGGGAAGCAGGAAAATAAGCCGACTGGTCCGACTTGGATGGCCTGCGACTGGCACTTTCCATCTTCGCCGGACTCATAGCAGCTGGCGGCAATGCAAATGAGTCGACAGCATCCACGGACACTTGGTCCTTGACTATCAACTCACCCGACATTGCCGGAGTAGGTGGTAGACGAGAACGTGACATCTCTTATGTTCAGAGGAAGTGGGAATGTCTCCAGGAAGGTCTGGTGACGCTTCACCTTGAAAGAGAAAAGGAGGAACTGAGACAGAACTGAGGACTAGACCAGTATAGTAGGACTATAGTAGGACTATGTGGGACAAGACCGGGGGTCTCGTATAAGTGATAAAGAGATGTGGAGTGGACAATGCAGTGAGTGAAGGACGAACAGGTAGGTAAGACGGGGAATCAGCAGGCAAAGGGGTAGATAAGAGCGAGCAGGGAAGGTTTGTCTCCTCAAAGGTGCATGGGAGAGATTACCCCGAAGGATGAGAACACGAATAAATTGGATGAACGGATCCAAGGAAAGGCACCGGCATGGTGGAGAGCAACGGGAAAGAGCCGGAAAGGATATTTGGGTGTAGAAAAGGGAAGAGAGCGTTTGAAGGGAGTGGTATTGCGACGATAGAATGAGCAGCGCTGGATGATCGACGGGACTGGGAATTGGGGATCGAAGGAAGCTGTTGCTTTAGGTTGACCTCTGGGACTGGTGTCGCGTGCTTTAAGAGCCCACGCGGTACCATTTCCCTCTCTGATTGGGTAGGGGCAGTAGGGGATCACGGGAAGGGGGCACGAGACGGGCTGGCCAGAGCCAACTCTCCTATCGCTTTGGGGCTCGTGCTCAGCTTCACTCTTCTTACTCCCTGGTTTCAGGGCAGTGATCCTTCCATTTGCAACAACCCCTCCCTCTGCTCATCTTGGGAACGGAGCCATGAGGGTGGAATGGGCATGCTGATTGGTACTCCCACTTTAAACGTCCCTTGAGTTTAAACAATCCAACCCCGACGGTTACCACTAGTCGCACCGCAGACATCCTGATGTACATCGGCATGGCATGTGTCCTCTTTCTCCTTTCCACTTCCGGTACGACATCAACAATTGACGAAATGAGATCAATCCAACCAAGGACGCTCCACTCTATCCATGTACATTACATTACATATTATGGAATCCAGATCAGGTTCCTTTCCTGCGTTGCACAACCCCCTGTAGCTCTATCTGTTCTTGTACCCCTATCACCCACCCATGGATGATCCCCCAAGTCACCTACTACTTAGTAGGTAGTCCTATGGCGAATTGCCCGTCCAGACGGGCATCAAAGCACGTGCGCACCCTCCATCCAACCAGTGGATCTTGTCCAATCCTTCCGGAGAACTTTACAGCGAGTCACTGCGCTTGTAGTATTGCCAATCCACCCCCGATCCTTCTGCCATTGGCTAGCAGCGCTTAATACACCCAGAGTATGAGTCCCAGCTTTGCCACTGTTAGCGATCGTCTCACACTGCGCGAAATATAGTGCGCTTTAAAAGGCAAACCAAAGCCACGTACCAGAAGTTCGCTTCACTAGGAAGGGCCACTACACAAACCAGGCCGCCTAGCGCGCAGGCCTGAGTACAATTTGACATGCCGGTGGTACTCAGTGACACGTTGGTCGGCGTCGCATGGAGACTCGTGCTATCACTAGTACTGGGCTCTTGAACCCCCGTGCGAAGAATGGAGGTCGAATTGAGGACGCCAACGAGTGCGTTGAGGAGGCTTTGCTTGTTCATTGTCGATGTTGGGGACCCGGGAAGTCCGAAAGCAGCTGCCAAGATGTGCTTTGTCTAATTAAATTTTCCTCGTCCTCCAAATCAATATTCAGGTAGGTATAGCAAATACTCCGTACAATACCTCTCTGCAACCCTCCTTATATAGACCTTCCTCTCCGCAAAGGTAAACTTTCTATAAACAAACGTATCCCCCATCTGACTTCCCACCAACCCCTCCGCATTCCTGTACTATTTGCCAAATTATCTCATCGATGCAGGTGACCAACTATGGCATTGATATCATTTTTGGGCGCTTCGTCTTCCAAAATGGGCACACAGTTGGTAGTGTACTGCGTATCATCTGACCAATAGGGATATTATGTTAACTAGTTGGAGATGCCCGCTTATCAACGCCCTGCAGGCCCAGAACGCAGCTCGGTACATCAAGCTGAGGCATGGAATGTCAATGACTGCCGTCCACTGATGCACAGCAGCTCAAGGCATTGCTACCATTGAGTAGCCAAGTTGTGCCTTATAGTTCACGAACGATCAGGTATGCAGTATGTCATACTCCACGGGTTACCGCATCATTATCACTCACCGACACTGAAACCGCATACTGTTCCCTAATGAGAGAGACAGAGAGAGAGAGAGAGAGATTTATTATTTTAGCCTCTCGGAAGGTTGGACGGAGAATAACTTCAGCTAATCTAGACTCCATTCCTTGCATTCCATCTTGATATTGAAGCTTCGACACAAGCCTCTACCAAGTATACTACGAGAAACAACTTTACCTTCCTGGTTGGTTGTCATGGACGATGTAGGTTTCAGACAAGAATTTGTGGCGGCTGCAAAGCTGTCACCAAAGCTTGATTGCTACACCTATTGAAGTGTCATTGGTAACATTCCGGTCAACGATGGAACGGTGACCAAGACTTATTCTCTTGAATATGTGTCAAGCATGCTATATAATTCTTATCTGTATAATTTTTCAGCACATACGACCATAGGGTGTGGAGAACAGGGCTTCCCGTCCGCTCAGCCGTACTTAAGCCACACGCCGGGAGGTTAGTAGTTGGGTGGGTGACCACCAGCGAATCCCTCCTGTTGTATGTTTTTCATTTTTTTTCTTCCCTCTTTTTTAATTAATTAAGCATTGTTGTTATTTGTCTATTGTTTGACTTCACATAGTACGGAATAATGGCCTGCATGCGAGACATTACGATAAGCCTATCTCGTATCCATGTAGCTTCTCAGGCAACAGATATATACTTCTATTCTATCGTCCTAAGTTATTTATATAATCGTATCTATATTCTAACCTTCCTTAAACAGTACGGTCACTTCAACTGAACAACCGTTCAAGGAGAACAGCCCCAAAATTATCCTCGACCGGCGAAGCATCCATCCTCCAGACACGATTCCCAGCTCTGGAGCTTAACCAGAGGCCATGATCGCTGGAGTGTTCCTCATCACCTTCGATGCGGTGTCTGTTCCGTCGGTCAACGACACACAGACCCCGGGTCCACTGCCCAGTGGTCTCAATCCGGATATCCTCCGGCGAGGTCGCGGTGGGCTTCCACCTGTCATCATCTGCGGTAATGGCATACCACACGCAGACGGGGTCATGCAAACTGAGCTCGACATCATCGCCCACCCGGCCCGTATGCAGTTTCTCGACCGTGCGGAAAGTGTGAGCCATGAAGGCCGACACCCACTCGGCCAATGGCGAGCCTTTCTCCAGGTGCGGAGTGACTGCCTCACGGAACTGGCCACGCGAGACGCCGTGGCGGAGCGTGATGTCCAGCGGGAAAATGCGCAGGGTGAGCTGCTTGCTGAGATTGGCGGGGTAATCTGGTAGACTTGAGTTGGTTGGTGTAGTGGTCCTGGGTGAGGGGGATGTCAAAGCATAGACCCGTGCGGCTGCAAATGCGTCGGCGTAGGCGTTAAATTCAGCAGCCGGGGTTACCTGTGTGTGATGTTAATCTCCTGTGACCGACTTCGTCTCACGGAAATAGTGCCCTTACATTACCGGGTTCGTTGACAGCTCCACCCATCACCACGACTTCCTTGACACGTAGGAATGCCTCTGGATCAGCTGCAGAGGCCAATGCGAGGTTGGTCAAAGGTCCGACTGCCACCAGAGTGACGGTGTCTGGGTCATTTTCACGCAAAACACGGAGTATCTCCTCGTGTGCCCGACGCTTAGATGGGATGAATGACGGGCGTGAAGGGTTGCCCTTCGGAACGGGTTCGACTTCAACTGGGTCGGCCGAAGGATCAAATAGATGCTCCCAAGTCTCCGTAGGAGTCAGGTGGGGGTGCTGGCGACTTCAATCAGTAGGGCTATGGCGATGTTGAAAGTAGCACGCTAACATACGCTGGTATGGATTCCTCCCAGACCGTCGGTTCCGTCTACGAGAAGTCAGTCTTGTGCAAATCACCCAGAAAATTGAGAAGACCGAGAAACGTACGGAAATAATCCGCCAGCATCTTTTGATCCTCTAGGGGATCCTCAGCACCAACCGCAACGACGGGTGGGGCAGCACGCAGGGCACCAAACCCTTCAGGAAGCCCCTGCTCCCGACGCCATTGCATCTCTCGCTCAAGAATATGAAACATCGAGACGACATTGCGAAGACAGCTATTCGTCTCAGTGTTGATCTCTAGAATACCTGAACGATAGCACTTACCTTCTCACTTCAATATTACCGAAGGTTAAGGATATTAGTAGGACTTCAACTTCCTCTGGCGTTGCGGACAAAGCGAGTAGAAGACCGAGGATATCATCGATCCCCTTCCAACCTACAAATCAGTATCTTTGCTCAGCGGGGGACGGGCAGCAGCAGAGAAACATATATATCTCACGTACCGGGTCAGTATCAATGATGATCTTCTTAGGTGCCATGATCTAAGCTTATATCTTCTAGACCAACTGTGACTGCGAACGAAGATTATAGAATATTGCGAACAAAAATTGTCAATACTGACTTTATGGCGGAGAATGATGAGTTGGAGCCAAAGTGGGATGGTCTTGGCTTTCGTTATCACTGTTCCCCACCATTAGTCATTGACCAAGGTGTTCTTGCCAGGCACTCAGGTACAGTAAGTATTAAGTAGAACATTACTGGACAATATTGATGCGTCGGGATTTAGTGTATCGAACGAAGATTCCAATACCTCAGAATTTAAGAAGCATTGTCATAGTCTACAAGTATCCTACTTTTAGTACGATGTTTATCTATCAATCTACTAACAATCTATACATACCTCCACCCGACGACTCGGAACGATACCGTGAAGGGTGTGGTGGACAACAGTAAACCAAACCAGGCTTGGTTAGTCCAACTTCTGGAAGCTTGTGATGCTTTGGGCCTTGAAACCCGCAGAGGAAACACCAAATACAGAATTATCACGGCATGAATCAGCTTGGAGGAATATTCTCTCATAGCCAGAGAACGTTTGTCAATCAAGGGGGGGTTGGTTCAGAACGTACACAGCTCCACGGTCCCCAAGCCTCCAGGCCGGTTAGCAACAGCCATCGGGACTATTGGCGGTTCCTCAACGTGCTATTTGTCAAGTTCCCCATGGTCCTCCCAAAGTAGGGTTGGACGACGTTACATATACTCGCTCTAAGCAGGCAGCCAAGGTCTGTCTACTCAAGTCTTACTCCGTAGAGTAAGAAAGATGCTGCGGACTCGAGGAAGCCTCGTGGTATCTTGTACATACATACCCTATGTGCATGAGGTTCAGATTATTCCTTTGGCGTGGTATGAATGGTTGGTGCCCTGCAAGGGATTTATTTGTTGAAGCGCTGGACTGAATTCCTCTCCTTTGTCTTGAATCTAAGCGTAAGAATGATATTGAGAAACGGGTAAACACCGGAATTGAGGCGATGTGGCCTGTTCCCGAGTCGGCACGGTACCGTACCATACATCCATTACCTACCCAGGTAACTACTTCAGTACTCCAGAGTCCAGAGTCTACTAGTAGTACTCATCGTTAATACCGGCCTGTACGGTAATGTTTCTCCGCTTTCTTTCGGTGGGTGTCATCTGCAGCGTAATGTGAATACCGCCAATTACATGCATGCATGGAGGCAGTGAAGCAGCAATGGACATGAATCGCTAAACATCATTCGTGCACACGAGAATCCGCCGTCAAACTTTTGTCTAGACGTCCACCGACAGGGGTTGCATGGGGATTGGTTGAAGATCTCTCCCCGCGCAGAGCAATTTGCCCCTGGTGATGGAGGTAATATGTAGTAATTGATACAATCTCCATTCTCATGTTTTATGACCAATTGTTTCTGGAAACTCTTAGCTCCGTTCGCTAACTGGATAAGAATCCTTTGTCGACTCCAATTGGGTCATTAGTGTCGGTACGGACGGTTGAATCATACTCCCAATTAAAGGAGAAAGGGAAAGAGGAGTATTCTTAGACAAAGACAAATAGAGGAGAAAACCCAGACACCACCCCGGACAATATGTACCTACAATGACCAAAGTAAATCAGCACTTGACGGTGCTATCAGACTCGGTGGAAGTGGAGAAAAACAGATGGAGGTGCGGGTGTTGGCGCGCAGACCATTGAACTAATATTCGCCAGTAGGTAATTAAATTCACTGCCGGATGACCGCTAGTAAGAAAGGTCACCCCTTCATCTCAAGCGTGTCCTCTTCTACCACTCGTCCTCCTTCACTTCCTCCTTTCCCCTTCACCCTCCCCTATATCTTCCTCCTCCCCCCCCCAAATTTTTGTCCAACCGCAATTCGTCCCGCCCATTGTCAATTCCTCCTCCACGGTTTGGTTGAGGTTGCTAGGCGGTTCGATGTTCCTTGGTTGATTCCCGCTTTTTTCGCCTCCCAACACCCTCGAAGCGCACTCGACACCGTAGCTCAACCCCAGCCTCGGTCTGGCTACCCACAAAGAGCTGAAGCAATTCGAGATCATTCAAATACCCTTCCAAAGAAGTGACTGGCTTGCTGCAGACAAGAGCTATAGCAATTCATCAACCGGTATCCGCGCTGCGACGCAATCTGGCCTTTCGGAGAAAGTTGACATTTGGCTTTCCCCTTGTATTCCAACCACCCATTGTGTCGTCATTTCCCAGCCTAATGATTTGAAGCTGAATTAACGACCCGCGAGAGATCGCTTGCTACATTTTTCCACTTTTCCCCTTACGTTTTCTTTTTACGCCCTTTTTGCAGCTATCCTTATCGGATTCTTGCAACACTTTTTGCGCCCAGCTCCATTACGCGCGTGGACCTCTGTCGCAACGACAAATCTTGATTATCATTTGAAACGTATCTTATTTGACTCTGATCACGATTTTGCTACGTTATCTCAAGAATACATATTGAACGTATGCTTAGCCCCGCAAGAACCATCAAGTCATCATTGGTCATTGACTAACGCGAAGTGGATATAGTTTTGACGACGATGAATCCTTACCTCAGTTGGGCGATTCTGCTCGTGGTAGCAGGTGGTCTGGGCTGGTACTACAATGGCCCTGTCCCCAAAACTAAAGCCCCCATAAAGCCTATTGTGGAGAAGGCCGAGAGCGCGGTGAGCGCGAAGAAACCCAAGAAGAAGACGAAAAAGTCTCTGGAACCCTCTCCTGCCCCCACCAAGGCAGAGGAAAAGCCAGTGCAGACTCCCAAGATCGAGGAGGCTGATGTGGCGGATGAGGAAATCGACAAGAAAGAGATGGCCAAGCGCTTTGCCGCTGTGAAGAACGGTACTCCCCTTAAGGAAAGCAACAAGGACAACAGTGGTAGCAAGGCTCAAAAGAAGAAGAACAAGAAGGGAGCATCCAGTCAGCCCGCCGCCAGCAACAACGAGCGATCTGCCTCCCGCGTCTCTACTCGTACCTCATCCACTACTGGAGCCGAGGCTGATGATGACCTTTCTCCAGCTGGGTCCCCTAAGGTTAATGCCAGTGCCTCTGCTGCTGGATATGTTTCTGACATGCTCGAGGCTCCTGCCCCAGCAGCGTCAGTTCTCCGAGTGACGGGCTCTTTGGACTCGGACTCCCAGAAGAAGAAGCAGAAGCCTCAATCCTTCAAGCAGGTCGAAACCAAGAAGCAGCGCCAACAGCGCCTGAAGAACGAAGCTCGGAAGCAGCAGGTCCAGGAAGCTGAGGAGGAGAGACGTAAATTGCTGGAGAAGCAGCTCCACACCGCTCGCGAATCTGAGCGCCGTGAAGCCGCCAAGTCAAAGCCAGCTGCTCAACCTAATGCCTGGCAGACTCAGAGCGTGAACAAGGCTACCAACGGCAATGTTACCAACGGCATCCACAAGACTACTCCGGCCCCTAAGGTTGAACTGCTAGACACATTCGAACCTGAAAACTCGTCTGCTGCCGCATCCTCCAAGGAATGGGACCAGGGTCTCCCATCCGAGGAGGAGCAGATGCGCATTCTCGGCGCAGAGAACGGTGAGGACCAGTGGACCACCGTGTCTAGCAAGAAGATCAAGAAGAAGGGCGTCAAAACCGATGACAGCGAAGTCAGCGCTGTTGAAGACCAGCCTACCCCGGTCGCACCTGCACCTGCACCTGTTGAGCCCAAGGTGAAGATCACTCCTACCTACCTCCCTGATGTCCTCCGCTCCGGAAAGAAGGGACACCCTCTCGACTCCGATTGGGCTGCTTGAGCGGCCTTTGAGCTTCTTAAAGAACTGAAAAGGTACATGGCTGAGTGAGGTGTATCTTTCGGAATTTTTTTCTCATGGAAATCTTTTTGATTTCACTGTATGTATTATTCATGGCTTCGGCGTTCGGGGTCTTTTATCACACTAAAAATGCACCACGCAGCCAACGAGGTGTGATCTCTTCTGCGATGTCAGCACGGGGAACATCAGCCTCAACCACCCAAAACCAAGAGAAAGCCCCCCAAAAAATAGAGTCGTGTATTATTTTCTTTTCTTTTCTTTTCTTTTTTATCCTTCTCTCATTTGTGTACTGCTCGGATTTCCAAATTCTTCTTGTTTTGTTTTATAACACATTTTGTTATCTGATCGATAATTATGGACGAAAAGACGTTTGATCTAGGACCGGATTCCGGGTTTTCCCAACAATACCAAGCTTATTACTTATTATATCCTTTCCCGATTGCTTTGTTTGCGGATTAGGCCTTCATTCCTTTGCTTGGTCCAATGCCCCTGCGTTGAGGACCCGGCATTTTGCATGGGATACGACAGTGGAGGCCTTGATGGGGGGAGCATGGATCAAGATCTGCAATGGTTCGTCTCCGCAAAAGCCACCTGGCCTCTTCTTTGTGCCGGGATGGCCTGAGTTCGTTGCGTTTAATATTTACTTATTTACATTAAGTGCGGTGTTTATTGTTCCCTGGATCTGGGATTTAATGCGTTCTCCGCTTTTTTCTCGTTGCATATATTTGTTTTGGATCCGTCGTGGTTCTTAATCCGGCAAAGAATGGGCCAATTTGGGAATGACGATCATATAGTCCCTGATGTGCAGTGGGGATCCGTGTGGTATCGCTCATGTATGTTCGTACTTGCTTTGTAGTCGGGTCGTAGGGGATAGAACGAACGATCCGCCTTTGGAGGTAGTCTGCGACGAAACGAATGGCCGGCTCTGAATACCCAACGTTGCGACGGCTTTTAAAAATAGAATGGGTGCTCTCGAAGAAAGACTATAATTGCAGGAGGCAGTGTGGGATCTTCTTGTTCTGCAAATGTCGTCAGAGAACCCCTTGAGATGGCTTGGCAACCATCCCTCATCGGGACTAGCAGCGAGTTCCGGTCATCGTGGCCTGAACTGCAGGGCCGACGTAAAGTCACGGGCAACGAACCAACAGATGCAACTTGTTGTTTTGTCCTCTTCTCTTTCGCATCATTCGTTCTTTCGGTCTTCTCTGCTATTTACTCGTCCTTTCCCTCCCTTCTTCTCTCCCTCTTCTCTCTCGGGAATTTTGTCTATTCTGACTGTCACTTATTTTCATCCTCCACCAATCCTTTCTTTATTTCTTGTTTACCAACCCCTCGTGGCTAGCTCCCGAGGTTCCTATTCTCGGTACCTCTCTCATACTCCTACTTGGTCGAACATCTCCCATTAAACAACAATTTCCACTATGGCGCAAATCCGCGGCACCGCGGGATACAATCTCGGTCACCAAAATCCCTTCGGGGGACCTGGTCGCGCAGATGCTACAAGTGACCCTAGCCCCTTGGATGCCATTCGGGAACAGACTAGCAAGATTGAAGATTGGTTGGACACGTTGGCAGATCCCGTCAAACCGTATGTGGTCTCTCCGAACTTTTGCTTTTTCGATTCATTCTGTTGTACCTCCCGGCGAACTACAAGGGAAATACAAGCAACTATCGGAATAATAGCGTTGGACTCGCACCGCTAACATCGTGTCTTCGGTCTACAGGTATCTACCAGCCATTGGCCGTTTCCTGATCGTCGTCACTTTCATTGAGGACAGTCTGCGAATCATTACACAATGGAGCGACCAGCTCCTCTATCTGCGGGAATACCGTAAAAGTAAGCTTACTCTTGCCATCCACAGCAACGGTGATCATTGCTGCACAGTGAGCCCTAGTGCCTCCGGTCTAACCATCTTCAGTTCCGTGGGGTATCACACACACCTTCCTCATCCTCAATGTACTCGCTATGTCGATATGCTCATTCCTGGTCATTGCTCGCAAACACACTGAAATCGCTGTCGCCGGCCTCTTGGGTGTCGTCGTCACCCAGGGCCTCGGATATGGACTAATCTTCGACCTCAACTTCTTCCTCCGCAACCTGAGTGTTATTGGCGGCCTCCTCATGGTTCTCTCCGACTCATGGGTCCGCAAGAAGTTCGTTCCGGCTGGGCTGCCCCAGCTTGATGAGAAGGACCGCAAGATGTACGTTCAGTTCGCTGGTCGTGTCCTGCTCATCTTCCTCTTCATCGGATTTGTTTTCTCCGGCCAGTGGAGCTTCTGGCGCATCCTGGTCAGCTTGTTCGGCCTCGTCGCATGCGTCATGGTCATTGTGGGATTCAAGGCCAAGTGGAGCGCAATCATCCTGGTGGTGTTGCTGAGCGTCTTCAACATTTTGGTCAACAACTTCTGGACCGTATGTATACCTTCAATGACGTTAGTATATCTAGTAGCTAATGGCTTCTTAGCTCCACCCCCACCACCCCCACAAGGATTTCGCCAAGTACGATTTCTTCCAGATCCTGTCTATTGTGTAAGTTGCACTTAGCCTTGTCTCGCCTTATTGTGAATCGCGTCACTAACCGTTTTCGCTAGCGGTGGTCTCTTGCTTCTGGTCAACATGGGCCCAGGCCAATTAAGTATGGACGAGAAGAAGAAGGTCTACTAAGCAGGACTCAACCGAACGCGCAAAAGGGGAGCGAGAAAGGCAGAAAGACAGAAAAAAAATAAAATCCAAATGGGCCACTGAGTTGATGCGCATGTGTGCTACGTACTCATGACATGTTTCTTATGGGCTACCGAAAGCATCTCTATTTCTATCATTATATGATCTTTTTTTTTCCACGTTCATCTTCAGCATTGTTCCGGAATCCGTTTCCCCCCATGGAGTTCAATCATTGTGTACTGGCTATAAGCTCGCGATATATTGGCTAAACCCGATCATTTGCTCACTAACAATATACCTCAAATCATACTCTTTCCCTTTCTTTCTAACCCGCATGACGTAAACAAGTCTTATTATCTTTCATTTGATAGGATGTCTGGAGATTTCGGGGTACCCAGCATGGACTATTTACCTACGATCAAGATACAGTTCGATAATGGAAGATCTATTATTTATGCCATATCATTCATAATGACCAACAAACACCCAGGGAAAAAAAAAAGTTAAACCGTGAAAACGCAGGCAATCGCAAAAAAACATGCATTAAATGATATTAAAAGATATTATACATGAACATGAGGATGGGACTTCAGGACAATGCATAGTTGAGAACACAGGTCAAAGAGCAATTCAGACAACGGAAAAAGAAAATGCAAACTAGGGAGTGTAATCTGCGCTGGTAATGAAAGGATGGATGGATGGAATTTGGCAGGGATAGTATGTATGTATAGGTACTGTATGTTATGGAGACAACGGATAAAACAACAGTCACGGAAAGTCTTTAATAATCTTGTTCGTTTCTGGTGGTCCTGCCATGCACATAACAACGACTTTCTTGGGGTAACTCTGCCTGCTCCAATGCATAGAGAATCGATAGGGTGATAAGGAACGGAATGATCGCTTTTGTCTGCTGCTAACGCCGAGAAAAACCAGGTATCAAGGTGTATCGGAGTGTCTGATCAGAATTCGAGGAAGAAACAGAATCGAGGCTGGAAAGTTGCTTAAGGAATCGGATACTGCCGCTATATGTCCATGCTCCAGCGCCACGGCCGTATCTGCTCAAGATCACCTAATCCGACTTCCTCATGGGAGTCAGAAATCTCCAAATGCAACAATTGAACTTTCTTGTCCTCCCGATTCAGGTTCGATAATGTCTTCGACACATGCGGCCGGAACAGCTTGCTACCGTCATCGGCTTCCTTGGACATCGGCCGGGATATGGGTGTCTGCGGGGACTGTATCGAAACCCTTGGGGATTCTATGTCATCGGAGTCAATCGAAGCTAACGAAGACGAATCTGATCGTGACCGTAGAGACGAAGCTATGACAAAATTAGACTCATCACGCCCGTACGTAAGGGAGGAGGGTGATCTGTATTCGCGGCTATCCTTAGGTTCAGGCGTCTTCAGAGGTCGAGGATCATCGTCGTCATCATCATCATCATCGTCGTCGTCGTCAAGGTGGGCAAACGGAGGACGAACTCTGGCGGGTTTCTTTTCAACATTCTGAGTAGATAACGGAGGTAGTGGGATTCGATCGGGGGTCTTGTTGGTACTCTTTTCGCGGGTTAATGAGGGGTCGTTGGTGCTACTCTGCTGGGTAGGGAAACGATCTTTTCCGGCCATTACCCTAGCGCTAGGCACAGGTTGCAGCATCCATCGCGTCTCGGCCCTACACTTGGGTCCACTGACGATAGGCGGATGAAGATCGTTGACTGGAGGCACTCGTGCAATATAGTATTTGCTGGGTTCGTGGGCATTCGCTTTCCCGCTACCTGATAATCCGACCGACGAGCCTTTCACCTCTACTTCTTCCCCCCATAACGGCTCGTCTTCGCGCTGATATCGCATGCGGTTCCACCGTTCCTCAATCGGTTGCATTAGGCTACTCTTGTCCTTCTTTTGCGACGCACGTACATCCTGACAGGAGTTTGCGGAGATTCCATCCGTATTCCAACTATCCGTACGACGATGCGCAGACCGGTTGCCACCTCTTCTTGCCGGGGGGCCGGGGCCTAACGCAATTTCCTCCGCCCATCCGGGGTTGGTACTGAAGGCGGTTGGCTGGGGAAATGGCCGAGGTTGGTCGGCGATGATCTCTTCATTCTTCTCCTTTTCGCGACGGGATCGAGCGGCTTCAGCTTCTTTCATACGTTTTCGACGATCAACTTTCTCGGCACATGGTGTACAGGTGGCATAGTAGAAGACCGCCGACTGAGCGCCTCGCCACAGCCACATGGTTGGGCTGGGGAGGTTGGAGGGAGGTTGGGAGCGGTGAGGAAGATTCGCAGGTCAACTGAGAGCGACACTGGCCAAAAAGTATGGCACTCACGAGAACAGATAGGCCCGAGGGCACCGGTAAATATGTCTCGATATTTGTCGTGTCACTGACAGCAACATGAAGGGCGTCTAGTTTGGTAGCGGGGTGGGACGGGGGGAGGCAGTTTAAAACGGAGATCGCCCAGCGACCTACAACGTCGGAGAAAGAACTTTGAAGTAACACCAAAAGTAACGGGCAATCCAAAAGGATACGTGGGACAGCGACACCGAAAACAATTGGAGGAATAGGACAAAGGAGGAGGACAAAAAAGAAAAGAAAAGACAAGAACAAGAGCAATAACAACAGACCAGACAATGAGGAAGAGCGATAGAGAGAGAGAGAAAGAGAGAGAGAGAGAGATAAGGGGAAAGGAGGAGTAAGAGAGAGAGGGTCAGGGGAACGCAAGACGGGCGAGAGATGGTTGGGCGATGTGCACTTGGCAGGGGCGGGGCGCGCGGCAGGGAAGAAACGGCGCTACCAGATTGTCTGGGAGTTGTCTAGGAGGAGTTAGTTGTACGTCTGTGTCGACGATCTCGTGGAGAGTGTCATCTGGTTCGCGTGGTTGTGGGAGTCGTCCGTATTTTCTCGGTGTCTTATATCCCTCTCCACTCGGACATGGGTAGTATGGATCGTGGCGGAGTGGAAAAGAAACCCAAGAAAAACGATTGATGCGGCTAAGAATTCTCAACCCCTCACTCGGAGACGCAAGTTAAAAATAATAAACAATTGGGCAGCGAGAGCAACTGCATACCGCACAATGTGTCCGCAACCGATTGACGGTTTAAAATTCCTGGTGAAACGGACGGTCCAATCTAGTTGACGCCGTCCAGCGTTAGTGGGAGTATCTGGCTGCCTACTACGCAGGACGCCCGGAACGAGAGACTGCGCGACTCCCGAAATTCTCGCCAAGCCCTAAACACGACAACGACGCTCAATCGGTCAATCGAACGCATATTCATGTCATTCATCAGGGAGGAGGTCGACTACTGTGTACATTCCCTGCATGGGATATCAGATTGAGTTCCACTCGCCCCAATCAACGTGCGGACATTGCAATTCACAGACATAGATATACATTGTTGAGATCCATGATTCATCATCGTCCACTCCCTGGGATTCTTGCCTGTGGACTCCGTTGTCGAGGACGGATCATCCTGAAAACAATGTACTTGCTCTCTCCCTTGTTTCTATCCCATCTGCTTTCCTCTCTCTCTCTCTGTGTGTGTGTCTGTCTCTCTCCCTCCCTCTTCCTTTTCGCCCCCTGCCCCTTTTTCTCCTGATGTCACCAAGTAAAACCTCAGGAGCCGTAGCGCCAGTATTTTTGACCTAAGATCGCATTTTTTTTTTTAATAAAAAAAAAAAAAGCTGCCGCCCAGTCTGAGCCCCACCATGGTCGCAGAATACGCCACGATATCAATCCCAATCTGTATCACCGCCACGGATAATGACCATAGCGGTACCCCTCCGCGTGACACGGTGCGCAAGAAGCGCACTGTACCTGAGGCTTTGATGGACTGTTGCACCCTCAGCCACGAAGAAATAATAAAAAGAAATAAGATCTATCACAAAAGGTCTAGTCCAACCTAACCACCATGCCACGTTTCGATCATCTAACGTCACTCTCATGCAAAAGGGAGGTGGTTCGTCCTTGGGCAAGAAAGTTCGCATCGTAACCGGTACAAAATCAGGGCTCATGCGTTCTTGGTACCCTTGACCACCTCGCCTTTAACCTTGGCCCAGTCGATCTCGCCGTCGATCTTCTCATCCACTTCGCCGCATACTACCACGTTATCGCCTCGGATCAGGTACAGGCCGTGCTCGATCTGAGAACTCGGCTCGGGGTCATCGGGGGTGCGAATGATTCGTTCGATGGTATCCAGGAGAACCAGGTTAGTCAACTGATCCGTGGAAAGGAGCGTCCCCAGAAGAGTCCGCCCGTCAACAGTCAGAACCAGGACTTTTTCTATTACGGAGCTGGGCGTTAGCACGGTCTTGCATAATGTTGGGACCCACCGGTCACTGGATAACTTACTATTAATATATGAGTGGAGAGACATGATGGTGCGCTATAGGATTGCCTGAGGTAAACGGGTGGGAACGGCGTGCGTACTCGTGCGCAAATACGTCCGAACCGGACTGGAGCTCTAGAAAGGTGATGAGAGCTTGCTGGAGCTATCGTTCACGACCCGAGACCGCCGGAAAAGGGAAGCCGATAGAACGTAGTCGGGAGTCAAGGAAGTGTTTGACTCCAATTAGTTTCGGGGGGGGGGGTTGAAGTCTATCGAATTGTAGCACTCTATCGCCAACGTTACTGTGCAGAACCAGTGGTGGACGCGTGTAGGGAATTCGGGCTGCTGCTCTCCGGCCTCGTTGAATTTTGCGGTTAGAAGCCCATTTAAAGTAGATCAAGATGACATGCTATCCGAGACGATTTGGCAAAGTATGGTGAACCAGCACAGCAGTGGTCGCAACAATGAGTTTGATCTTTCTCCTCCGTCCAGACACTTCGATACGATTAGCCTATCACGTGACAACCCACGACCCTCTATCTTTACGGGAAACATTCAATAGCTCGAATGACGTCGAAATCTCATATCTATTCTTTACCTGGAAAGCATTGGAAACAAAGACAAGAAAATAATAATAATAAAACGTCCATTGATTGAAATGTACGTATCTAATTGTACATGAAATAAGAGTCTAAGTCAAAAGAAGAAGCTTTCGTTGAATTGCCTATTGACTATCCCGATGACAAGGTGTAACTTGAAGACACAAAGCAGTTGGATAAGCCCCAAGTTTCTTTGTTATCTGAAACAATAACCTAGCCACTCAATGCGCTCAAATCCAATGGCACGCTGCTGCCTCGTCCAGCACGGTATCGTCTGGGGCCTCCGACAAAAGGCCGAGGCTTGGGGAATAAACCTTCGCTCTGGAACTTGAACCGAACATCTTCTACACGGATCACCCCGTGCGCTGCTGAACTTAGAGGGCTCGACCCTGATGACGGCCCGCCGTTGCTCAGGGTATAAGCGCTCGGATCTAATGTGGATCGATCCGGGATGTGACTAGCTGGAGGCTCGTGGGATAATGGGCGGGATGGTGGCTGGCTCGGAGGGGTACTTGGAGGGGCACTTGGGGGAGCACTCGGAGGAGGTGGAGGCGGCGCTGAAGGCGCGGATGAAGCGGGTGGGGGCGGAGGCGGGGCTGACGGTGTCTGCTGACTGTGCCCGAAAGCGTTCCTCGCAGCTTGGACAGCTATTGATGCAGCAGCGGTTCCGTTAGGTGGTTGCGGTGCCGAGGCTGCAGGAGGCGGTGGTGGTGGAGGAGGAGGGGTAGATCGCGCAGGCGCTGGGGGCGGTGGTCGGGCTGTAGGTGGAGGTGGAGGTGGTGCAGCTGGACTTGTAGAAGGGGGTGCAGGAGGAGGGGGAGCTGGCGTTGATGGTTTCCTAGAGGACACGGGTGGTGGTGGAGGTGGTTTTGCTGAACCTGGCAACGCTGGTGGTGCGCGAGGTGGCGGAACATCTGGAGCCGACCTGGCCGATGCATTTGAGGCAGTAGATGATGGCCGCGAGGCAGGCCTTGGGGGAGGCTTCTTTAGACCAGCAACCAATGCGTTAACAGGAGGGGCGGGAGGAGACTCTGAAGAAGGCAGCGGAGGAGGACGAGCTCCTGGAGGCTTCGGAGCAGGCGACACTGGAGGTTTCGGTGCCGACGAGCCTTGTGATTCAGATCGATATGGCGAATCTCGATTGGCTCCAGTATCAACTCCTCCTCGGCTGCGTAGCTTGGGCATACCTCCGGCAAAGAGACCTCCCAGCTGTGGAGCTGCCGGTAAAGCCGCACTATTGTCCCCCCCTGAACCAGCTCCGCTATCACTTCGTAGTCTGTTCACTGCTTGCCCGGGTACCGGTGGTGCCGAACCCGGGGGTTTCGGCATGGTTGGAACGGGCGGTGCACCTGCGATCGGAGGACCAGATGATTTCGCGCCTCCCCCGGCAATCTGAGGCGCTGATCTGTCATTGGTTACAGCTTTCTTAAGTCGTGTGCCTTTATGGATATCCGAGAGAAGGGCACCCTACCAAATAGATTAGTTTATGTGTCAGGCATTATTTCAAACACATCAGCTTACCCGGCCTTTCGCCTCTGCGCCTGATGGCCTACTCGGGAGAGCTCCTGGAGGAGGAGGGGGAGGGGGTCCTCCCATGCCACCGGGCGGCGGCGGCGGCGGCGGTGGTGGTGGTGGAGGAGGCATTTTGTTGATAGAAAAGGTAGAGGATAAGTTCGAAGGTTGAGAGAGAAAGAGGCGAAGTCAGCAATCACGGGGGAAAAGCGATCGCAAGGGATCAATCCGCTGGAATCGAGGGGATCATTTGACGTTTCTTTCAGGGAGAAAGATGACGTCCGTTGGAATGGAGAGAAGACAATGTAGCCTGATGGAGCAAAGCGAATGGGATCAGTTAAGTTGCCCAATAGTGGAGAGTCCGTCCGGAGTTAGTGGCGGTGCTGCAGCGGCAGTAAGACTCCGCCTTGTGTCGCAAATGGCATATTGCTGGTCCTCGTATCCGTACTCAACGACCTGGAAAACAACGCCAAAAGTACTTTTACTGCTCACCATGAGAGGCATTGCGTTAAGGGGTCAAAGAGCCTCAAGGCCTCAACCCCTGATATGTCAATTCTGCCGTTCCTCCGCATCCCCGGCATCCCGGCCACGAACCCAGTTCACGCGATCTTTTGCATCAACGAGACCAACTATCTCGAACAGAGACGTGAGGCTATGGAAGGCCAGGAAGAGCTTGAAAGACCATTGGACTGCTACACAAATCATACCCTCTAGATTTGCATCGAACAAGCCCGAGACAACTACTCCCCGAGATCTAGAAGATGCCTTGCGACGGATCACACACGATTCAGCCGAGCTCCGACAATTGGATTCTGTGCCCTCCAACGAGGCAATTGTGGGACTCCTTCAGAGATGTGAAGAGATCGCAGAAGCTCTTGCACACCACGAGCAAGACACAACAAAGAAAGGAGATAATGAGATATCCAACCTGCTTGACCTAGAAGAAAAGAGTGCTGCGAGAAAACGCGCCAAATCACCGAAAATTGCGGACCCGCGACTAGCCAGTGCTCTCTCCGAGATCACCTACGAGCTTCTGACGGATGAAAAGGTGTTTATTTCCCCGGAGGCACTGGCCTGCTACACTAAGGTTCAGTGTTTACTCAAGCGTGCCGAGCACTTTCCGGAGATCTTTCATCTATATGCACATAAGCCGGTCCCGGAGGAGAATAGCTCCCCTGTTAAATTCCACAAGGCGAACCCCAAAGACATTAACAGTGCTATCCCCACCGAACTCGCCAACATGGCTCTAGATGTCGCTATCGAGCAGCGGAACCTGTCTCTCGTTCTCGCGATCATTGATAGTACGTTTTGCGCTCCCGCATTCTCCCGCGCAAAGGTCTTTAAGAAAGCGGCTGTGCCTCTCGGTGGGTTGGCTGCTGCACCGGCTGCTTGCTATGCCATTGCATCCTGGGCTGCGACCCTCCAGAATACCATGGATCCTGGCACGGCTACAGGCATTGCGTTCGCTGCGAGTCTTGCATACGTGGGAGGTGTATCATCAGTGGGTATCCTGGCTATCACCACAGCCAATGATCAAATGGAGCGGGTAACATGGTTGCCTGGTGTCCCATTGCGGCATCGTTGGCTTCGGGAAGAGGAACGAGCGGCTTTGGACAGAGTCGCACTTCAGTGGGGGTTTAAGGATATCTACATGCGTGGCGAGGAAGAGGGAGATGAGTGGGAAAACCTACGGGAGTTTATTGGCATGAGAGGAATGATTCTAGACAAGACGGACTTGATGCCTGGTATGCAATGAGCATCCCACGGGCGTAGATGATCGATCTGCTTTGTATTTATAGATAGATTACCGTTTAGCATGGCTAATGCAACTACGAAAGACTTACACACTACGTTACGTATATCCAACACCAGAATTACTTCTACAGTAGACACAAACAACGAGTTAGGGACAAAGTTGTGAGTCACATTTCCGAAACTATGGCATATACAATCCCACTTCTAATCTCCTAAAAAAAAACCCCCAGCGTGACCAGAGAGCGCCAATAACTTAGTAGAGACGCTTGGGAGGAGACATGGAAGCCTTGAGGACAAGGCTACCAACGTTCTGCCAGCCCTTCTTGAGGAGGGAGACAAGGTAGTTGATGGCCAACATGACGTTGGCAATCAGCTCATCCTCAGACATGCCAACGTTGCCAACGGCAACACCGAGACAGAGAACCTTCTTAAGCTGGAACTTGATGGTGGACTTGACATCGGTGACCTTGTTGGCCATGTCCTCGGCGTGAGAGATGGGGGTAGGGAATTTACCAGCTGTGGAAACTGTTAGCATAATGCACATCTCACCGGGCGCAACGCTAGATGCTGAACATACCCTTGGAAAGACCGGGACCCAAGAGACGGGGGATCTGCTTGATGAGACCATCGGAAGCAAGGAAGGCATCGTACTTGCGGGCAAGCTTCTTGATGAGCTTCTTGTTCTTGTTAAGCTTCTTAAGATCCTCAGTGGACATGGCATCAATACCGTGGTGCTTAGCACGGTCGAGATCGTGCTGGTCACCAAGAATACTATAATCCGTCGCTTGTCAGCTCGTCTCGCTCATTCTACTCCATCCAGCATCGTTTTCCTCAAGTTTTTATCGAAATGGCGATGCAACCGGGACGGCACGTACCAGATGGTCATGTTGGGGCGAGGAACGGAAGGCAGCTTGATGGTGCCAGAGAAACGCTTGTCACGCTGGGGGTCGTAGTTCTTCAGACCGATCTGAAGCTCGACGGTCTCGAGGAAGTTTCTCTTCTTCTCATTCTGAGAGTATTCCAGCAGCTGCTGGATATTCTGGCGCACTCCGGCTGTAACAGAAGGAGAATGGGTTAGTTACTGAAAGCCTGTGATCTAGATCATAGTAAAATTCCAACACATACCGACTGTGATCTTAGACATGATGGCGACAGTCTTCCAAAAGAATCAAATCCTTATGGTGTGGCTCTGCGCTGAATATCGTGCAAAGAACGAAAGTAAAAAAGGCGCCGCCGCCCGCCGCAAAGAAAATCGCGTCTCCGCTTGTGGGTGTGGATGGTACTAACCGCACTAGGACTAGCCTTGCCCTAAGAATCACAGCCTTATTAAACTGGCAGCGTTTCAAAGACCGTCAGGTATTCTTCAATGCGTAATTTATGTCATTATCATGTGTATACACAATTGTAACAGCCTCAGCTCTCATAGGAATATATCTATATTTCAAAAAATCTTGGAAGATTAGAACCTTAGGAATGCTGTGGGTCAAAAAAAAGTCGAGGTCAAGGTTTCCCCAATCCCAGATCTGGTTGAGGGTTCCCAGGTCTATGTTAGCTCTATCAGCTATCCCGTCTGCCTCTGAGGATGCAGGCTCCAGCGGCAGAACTACTACACTACTCTCAATACTACCTGTGTCCGGATGTGTGTCATTTGTAAGAGACTGGCCAGCATCACGTAACAATGCCAACCCATATTGACTGTCTGGGGTCGTATAAGGTTCTCCGTCATCTTTAGAGTATTTGTAATTCATGGACATCCTTTCTATAGAAGAAATCGGAAGCCCGTCAATAAGCTTGGTTAGGATTGAGTAGCATATATCGCCCGTTTTTGTGATACGCACCAGCCTTAGCATGTTGACAGATACGCCAAGTGCTTGAATGATTGATTCTCGCCGAGGAAAGCATCGAGTACGATCGTGGATTATAGCTGAGCATAGCAAGGATGCCGTATCAAAAATCAAAAACGGCGCGAAATAGAATTTGGCGTTCATTAGAAGCATGCATCCCAGCAATCGATGAGATGCATCCATTAGCTTGAGCGCATAATCAATGGCAAACTACTGAAGACCTTTCTGGACACTGGAAGTGTCTTGGTCAAGATTTTGTACGAGGCATTGCTTTAGTGGCTTTAGCTTTACCATATAGCCTACAGCATGCAGCTGATAGCGCTGCATAACCATGTATTTGTGGCTTTTATCCCAGCGCGTGTCAGGGTCTATGAGCCCGAAGGCAGACGGCAGCGAAACAAACCACCTTTCAACTTCTCCTTGAACCGACACAGATTGTATGGGTGGTAGACTTTAATCCATCATGCCGGGTATTTTTGATATCATTCGGCCCAACTGACACTGTAAGGCCATGTATGTTATTGGGGACGGCAGTTCGATTTCGGAGTCGGGGCTTTCCAGACGCAGATTGGGGAGCTCAACAGAGCAATTGTTATTGATAATGATGGGACGGGACAACAGGTGCGAGATTTGCCTTTCCAAATGAGCCAAACATTCTTCTGCAAGGAAGCCATAAGATTCCAACTTACCAGTCCCAAGCGTACAATATGCACCACATACGTCTCCTCATCCCACGTTCGAACTCAGTAAAAGACAGCTTCGCAGAATCTTTATGCAAGCCTAAATAGAAAGTGTGGAAGGTTAGCTAGTGATTGCAAAGATCATGATCATACAAAAGCAGTCTTTATTACCTATTTCTTGGACTTCATGGATGGCAGAGCTAAGAGCATGCCATGACTCAACGAACAGAGCTTCGGTCTTGAACCAGTAGGCCGTGAGGAATAGTTGCTGCACCTGTGCTAGGCCCCCTTTCCCTGGAGATATAGTGCTGCTTAGTCGCTTAGCAGCATGGTGATAACGCTCCGAAAGGCTTTGAATATTATCTCCTAGTTCGGATTCTAATTTCTGTCGCTCCTCTAGAAAGAGGAGAAGAGCAGAACATGCACAGACACGTAACAATAGACATGTAAATTCAGCTGTCAGCGGCTGCGCCTTTACCTTACCCAGCCACCTGTGTAAGGTTTCGGGGGGATAAGCCGGAAGGCATCCTCCATCTCGGCGGATGTAGTTCCATTTGGTGTCGGTAAGATAACATGAGAATCCCATCCTGTCAGATTAGGTTGTTGGAAGATAAATGGTTCATCAGGCAGTGGCTTGCGTCATTACTAGTGCTTTCTTCTAGGGCACCAAAGCTATCTGAAAGGTACCCCAAGACACGAAGATCCTGACCATTTGCCACAGGAATGATAGAGCCACTCATAGGGTCTTGCTTTACATCTACATTGTTCCTTTCGGCGGCGTTGGATTCCCTAGAACTATATCAGTTGGGAGGCCTTTGGTAATGGATATGCCCCACTCAGACCTTGAGACACTTAATGGCCGTCTCGTTGTCCGTGATTTGCTTTTTTATACAAATTTACAAAGATGGGATAACCTCTGTGCTTGGCATTGGTTGCAAGGCCACTTGCAGCTGCACTATCCAGCGGTCAGAGCCAATGCACAATGTTAGGCAGTGAAGAGTGGGTTTCTTGCATGATATAACCGCGCGCATGGTCTTCACATGTTTCGTTGTGCTGACCATGCTTGTTCATCCCTAACGGATCGAAGATATTTAAAGTGTCACAGTATACAATAGTCGAGTTCTACGGCAGAGGACTTTTATTGACTTTTAAATCATGAAGGGAGACAGGCTCACGATTCTATGAAGCAGCCGGTTATGAGATATCAACGGTAACACACTCTTACCTGATTTGGATCATGCATTCTCAGCTGAATGAGGTGGATGTGGTGCCTTAAAACAAGGGATCCACACTTAATCCCCGTAATAGAGGGATCCTGACTAACCTGATATGGTAAGGCTTATCCAGCGGGTACCGCAGAGGTCCATGGATTTGTTCACGTATACTATGCTTCAGTACAAAACAGAGGGTCAAGAATCCCCGTGAAAGTATAAATGGAACAAAGTTCTCACATTCGAACGTTTAGAAGCTTGTTATTGACTGAGTGGAAAAGGAACAACATCATCGAAGTGCGTGGTCGTGTCAGCTGTGTTTGTGACAACATCGGCGGCTAGAGATTGCTAGTGCTAAGGGACGGCAGCCTACGAATGACCGCGGTCATTCGCCCGGCTCCAGCACGAGGCTGAGTATCTGCAGCATGGACTACCTGCGCGGCAACCTCCTCAGAAGCGTTTATACTTCGTTTCCCCCTTCCTTCCCGTTCGCTCTTCTCAATTATTAGCTCTTTCCTATATCCTTAATCTTCCAGTCGCATACCATCTTGTCAACCAAGCACTAGTCATCGCCAGCTCGTATTCGCTAAGGCTAAGGAAACATGTCTGGGTTTCCTTCATCACACAGCCTCCAGACCCCCAAGAAATACTACTCTAGCTTCAAGAGCAACTTGAATCTCCAAGGGAAATTCCACGACATTGACGATGAAGCCCAATTCCGTGCTTATCTGGGCTATCTAAAAGATGCACAGACCCGAAACTTTGTGCTAGATTTTGGAAACGACGATGCGTGGTGTGCAGTTGATCTGGAAGAGGAAGATATTGCGACACTAGTGCGCAGCGCCGTATGTGACTAGAAGCAATAATGTTGATTGTAAATGAGCTCATTCTAACTGACCTCTAGAAGCCAAGGTTCTTTGGGACCAGATGGATGTGAGATATACACCAAACTTGGCGAGTCTCTAAAGTGTACTTACCATGGTCTTAGTAACATCTGGTCGCCAGAGCAGCAGAAAGATTTGGTCAAAGTTTGTCGAGCTTTGCTTCACTGAGCTCACACTAGACTGACATCTCCCAGACAATAACGAGCCACTACGGCATCTCCGAGCGTTTACAGGGGATGATGTGCACTGACCCGGTGGTTCGCCCGGGCCAATCCACGAATCCTTTAGCAAATGGGGTTCACGAGAAGAACGACGACCGATTGCCTCGTGTTTCCCGTAAGAATGACCTTGAAGAAGCTCAAGAACTGAAGGATTTATCAGATCCTGCTGAGATACAAGCGGCTGCATCATTCAGAGGCATTACCTTTGCGCATGTGACGAATCAAATCTGGCATTTCTGCTCCGTAGACTACGGTCCGAGATGTATACATCCCTTACTGAACTTGATGACATTGCGTTTGCTGACATGCTGTTTAGATACATGCATTGGTTACAACTCGTTGTACGTAGTGCCGAACGTTGAATTTCCCAACGGACAGGGCCTACCTGATGGGAGACGACTATGGTCTTGGTTGATCCTATGCGACGACGGTATGATTGTTGCCTCTGATCGCTTTCTGGTACAATGTTAATCGCCGAAGGCACTGTTATTTCCATGCAAGAGAATCCGTACCCTGGACTTTCTAGGCCGTCGGAGAGGGAGCTGAAGTCGGTACTCGGTATAGTTCGCCGAAATGTACAACTTATCTTTTCCGGTGTCTCTAAGCGGCACTCGGCCCAGTCGGAGAGTGATTCATTAGTGACCATTCGCGTACGACCTGCTCACGGCGGTGGCCCAGATCAGGCTAGTATAAAGCAAGAGGATGGCCCTAGTTTACTATTCTACTATATATTCGACGATTGGGTTTCCAGTTACGCACTTGTTGCAAAACGAGAGCATCAATACGGGGTTCTTCTTGATCGACTGGTAAGAGATTCAGAATCATCCACGGCTGGGCATTATTCAGGGACTCTGACATTTTGATAGAGGGAAGAGATGCTCGGCAAGCCTGTGGTTGGACTAGTCAATGAGCTACACTGGTTAGGCAGGAGATTAGCCGTCTTGAAGCGGCTTTATCAGAGTTACGAGCTTATCATGATGCGGATTCTTCAAAGACAGCGCCATCTTCGAGACGAAGCGAAGTCGAACCGTCCTCCGCTGCCCATCGGGCCTATGTTCGGAGAAAGTGAGGTGGTGGACCTTCGACAGCCGACCCTGCAGAGTAGTTGGAGTGTTTCAAGCAATGTAGACACCTCTGTTGGTGTACAGCTGAGTTCGCCTGCTGTGGCCCGTTTTGAAAGACTGCTAGATCGTATCAAGCTCTACTGCTTGTCTGAGATTGAGACCTGCTTGACGGAGAAAGAATCTCTCACATTCCTTGTATGGGTATTCTGGTTTTTCATTCTCTTAAGACAAGTACTAATGCCTAACAGAACTTTAATCTTATTGCGCTGAAGGACTCGCAGGCTGTCGAAAAGCTCACGAGAATCACAATTCTGCTGGCTAAAGTGACAATCCTGTTTTTACCCGTCAGCTTGATGACCGGGTACTTTTCGACCGAGCTCAAGAACGTCAAGGGGGTGTATACAGTTAACCAATACTGGGTCAGCTTCGGCGTCATTATGTTTTTGTCCATCGTGCTACTCACACTGTTCGGCTACCTTAGCGACACCGTGGAGGGCAAAACTATCTATCAATCACTATCCCGTACCTTTGTCCGATCTTCTAAGCACAAAATATCAAATCGAAAGGAGGAATAGGACTATCCAAATCCTCATTAGTTGGTCGCTACATGACTAAACAAGGTCATTCCCACTTTTTGTTTTGGATAAGAGCTGAGGAGCTAAAGCTTCGCTTGAGCATGACGAGCATGCCCAAATCTCTGCATGGCCTAAGACGTCTATCTATGTTTCTGTGTTTGGATGAACCAAGGCATTGTAATCGTTAAAAACTATTATTACTTCTTTTTTGTCATTATCTTTTGTTCAGTTATCACGGTAGGTGTATTCCATGTTGAATTTAAGGATATGCTATAACAAAATTGATGCAGAGATGCAAATGAGAAGACGGCGCTGGGTAGCACCATGGAACGCATACTAGCGTCAAACTATTGGGATCTTTCATTTTACTCCAATCTCTTTTCCATCTAGATATAGAGCGGCAATCCGCAAAGGGCCGGCAACAAGAAACGAAAAATAAATAGGAACTATCAAGGAGAGGGGCTACGAAAATTCTGCTCGATATGGACTCCTCGATAGTTTTGACTATTCAAGCAACGCAATATGTTGGTGTCATTGTCTGTACAGGAAGAAAACCATAGTGGGCCAGTTATATATAAAGATTGGTGTAGCTCTTGCCACATCAGCAGCCTACAGATGAGCTAACACAGGAGTCATGACGATATATGTGTCGTGCGACCTTCACAATCTGTTAAATTTCTTCACAGAGCTTACTAGACGATTAATCTAGTACTTGTTGTTTTCTCTTTCGAACATCTCCGTTCTTGTTTGTAGTATCCATCGTTGGTTGCTGGATTGGGCATAAACCCATCACCAACCCAAGAGAAAAATGTTGAGGTTCCCCGCACTAAAAATAGGAAACGCCAAACTGACAGCAAACGCCAGGCCACGCTTTAGACCAACAAAGCAACCAAAGCCCACCGTCATCGCCTTGCTGGGCCTGGGAGGACCAGAGCGAGATGTCTTCATCGAGCAGGTAACAGGCATTATCCCGGACTCCCGCAATCCCAGAAACAAAGGTGATCTTTTGTCAACCCGTATCTTCAAAGGCCAAGTCAACGACAGAGATCTATGGCTGCTTGATACCCCGACGTCAGAGATCCCCGTCGCCGAGCTGGTGGAGGGCATCAACAGCGCCGTAAAGCGGAAGTCCGGACGAACAGATTATGCCGTTGATGGGATCGTGTATCTACATGATATAACGGATACGAACGTGACGCAGAATGCAAGCGAGAATCTGTCTGTCTTTCAGGGGTTGCTTCGGTCTGCTTCTGCGGATCATATCTCTTTGCGACGACGTTCTGGGATCTTCTGCGGACGCAGGAGGAGGGTGTTCGTACGGAGGCTAAGCTAAATGCGGTGTATGGTTCTATTGCTTCTATATGTCGAGTTTTGGACTCGAGTGATGGGCAGAGCTATCGAGATATCATCTGGGATAGTGTTAGCGGATTTGTGGATGCAGGGCTTGTTGAGGACTCGGTTGATGATGATGCGATGCCGGTGCCGACCGTTGAAGAACTGCTTAGCATAATCAACGAGAAGGATAAGCGCATGGAACGCCTGGAGATAGAGCTTCAGGCTTCGAAAGAGACTTCCGCTCGACAACTGCAGGATGTGCAGCAGAAGGCCGCGGATGAGAAGGCGACCCTCTACCAGCAGCTTCAAGTTGCGCTAAAAGACGTCAACCAGCTTCGAGAAGATCTTAGTCGAAGCCAAAAGAGTTGCGTGGAGGAAATGAGGAATCTTCGGAAACAGTTCGAGTCCGGACAGCAGGATTCAGCTGGCAAGTTTCGGGATTTAAAAACGCAGCGGTCGATTTCAGCCGGTCATGGTGACGAACTCTGCCGGGATATAACCCCGACACGTTCATATACAAGAAAACCTCCACATCAGACGCATTGCTCAAATGGGCAGGCGTCAAGCCTAAATTTTCTGGACGCTAGAGGGGAGTTCCCTCTTTATAGTGCTGCTGCTGGTGGGTACTACGATGATGTGAAGCGAATGTTAGAGCAGGGAGCAAACCCGTCCATGAGAACTCTGTTCCAATGGACGGCGCTTCATTGGGCTGTCGGTAATGGTCATGCGAAAATTGTTCAGCTATTGCTTGATTATGGTGCCGATATTAATGCAACCTCGGACACAGGGAGTACTCCGTTGGATATGGCACGAAACGATATGATGAAGGATATACTCCGCCAACGGGGAGCCAGATGAGTTAAGCTTACTTCGATCCAACCACAAGGAATCTCGGAAGTAGACAGGAAATGACCTCAGCAATTACCTTCCCCTGAAAGATTGGAGCATGTTCGTACAAGCTCTAGACTATCTATCTGTCATCGTCGCTGTATCAACTTTGTGGAATGATTGTGAACCCCACACTCGAGTGGGGCCTGTCAGTAACTCGCATAAACTAGCGTCCCGAAAATGATGTTTATCTGGGCTTCGATTCCAATCCATAATCCAACCATGTTGAGTCAATTACTTTGCCATATGTACAAGGTGCTCCTGTGGTATTAGGCTCCCTTTCATCTTTCAGACGGTTTAAACTGGGTAATGAATGGTATTTCCTGGGGGGTGTATAGCCAATAGCAAGTTCAATAAAAATCTAGTGAACAGCAGAGGGAAGGGAATGGTGTAGATTTAGAGCTGGCCCTATAGTGCCATTTATTATAACTCCCGAGTCAAGTTGGACATCTGAGATGATCACTATAACCGAAATCACCAATTTACATATTCTATAGTCCTTTAACGTATGCTTGACGCCGATTTTTTCCTTCTTCCTTTCCGTCTATTTGGCGTTGAGAGCGATCAAGGTGTCTTGTAGTATTGAACGTTCTCTACGACTCCTCTTGTCATCGCTTGTATGGGACTTTTATTTGGTTTAAGCCAGTGAAATTTGTTTATTTCAAATGCACGAGTTGGGTGCCATCAGTAGTGGTGGTATTCCCATTAAGATGTGCCTGTCACCACTTTCCCTGGTTACTTTTCATGACCATAAGAAAATTTGTAAGAAAGCTTAATTGGCCTGTTGTGCTATACAGAATTACTTGGTCCTTCATTGTTGACAAAAAACGTCCCGTCAGAGCAAGGTGTTGTCTTCGAAGATGAAGATATATCACACTAGCAGCAGCTGAAGGACTGCATTCCTGCAACGTAAGATCAAGATGTTGTGGGAGATGCTAAAAGCCAAGGGAAAGGAATGCGACACTGAGACGCTTCTAAGAACTTAAGCCGACTATGATCGAGGTTGAATTTCAGACGCATTGCATATCCAGGTGATATATCAGAAAGCATATATCTACTTCACTCGTAATAAGCTTATCTTTAAGATCATGAGTGGGCAGTGATTAATAAGCTATTCTCGGTGGGACTGACCACTGATGAAAGTTTTCCCGGTCCGGATCCTGACCACTACTGGACTGCATACAGCACGGAGTACTAGTAGTACGCGAGCATTCCAGGAATATGTACTCGGTACATCCGGTGCCAGCATGAACAATGAGCGGTCACATGTCAAATGTACCAAAAGTGGCGGCACCTGAAAAGATTACCGGCCGCTATAGAAAATAAAGTAATGCGGCGGTATAGAAATAATACCATCCCTTATCCTCCATGCCTTCTCTCTCTCAGGATGAGAAACATGACGCGTAGTAGTCCCGGTGGTCCCTTGTGGGTTTGATAAACTGCCTACCATATGCGGGAGGGGTCTGGATTATCATTCAGCGATACGCAATTCTTTGTCAAGAGAGCACGAGAGAGCCACCGACAAGAGATCCACTGGGACGGGGAAACCTCAAAACTGGTCGGGAACCTATCAGAAGGCCGGAAACCGAGTGGAATCGGGGTGGTGTCTGGACCTCTTCTTTTTTTTGGGGGCAAAGGGGGGGAAGAATAAAGTGGCAGTGGAAGGGAGAAGAAATCAGACGAGATAACCTTAGGTGAATGGGACTAAACCAAAGGTACGGTACGGTGATGATTACGAGTAGTGGGAAACACCGTGTCCTCTTCGTGGCAGAGGTATTCTCAAGTGTCTAGGCAATCAGATTCATGTAATTTATATAAGATGAGAGTTGATGATTGAAATTTATAATATACAGAGGATCTTAATGTATTATCATATTTATTTTTGGGGATTTTAATTATATTAACAAATTGATATTTATCTTCTCTTCTAGTCTTTTTTTTTTTCCCTAGTCCCCCTCCTATTGTCTTCATCTGATATTCCAGTCCTACTTGTAATAAATCTTAACAGAATAGGATTGTTGTGGTTCTAGTCGGGTTTTCGTTAGTGACGGAAGCTACGCCGGCGGCTGAATTTCTCGACCTGGCACTTTGGCACCCAAAATTTCCAACTTGGACAAAAACAGTGGTCCGTCGGGTGCTCCATACTAACTCACTAACGAACAGCGTCTGGGACTTGTCTTCGTCGTCTCTACCCGTTTGACTCGATTCTCCCTTCCCGCCATATCTCGGTCTGTGATTCTCACCATTTACTCACCTTCATACCCTTGGTAAGCTATTCCTATTCTCCTCTCCCTTGACTTTTTTTTTTGGCTCTCCTTTTTCATTTTCCTGTATCTCTTTGTTTCCCCCTTGTGCCTTGGGTGTTCCTGTGTGGCCTTCCCCCCTGATTATTTGCCCGTCTGGCCACTGTGCATTCCGAGACGTGATCACGCCCCTCGTTCAACACATCTCCCCATTTGCCGTCTTCTGATTCCAAGTTTTCAACCCTATTTCTACCGATTTCCTCTGGTTTAATTCTCAGACGACCGAGCGACATCTATTTCACTTGCAGCGTAACTGGTTTCACTCCATCTAACATCGCATTATTCCTAGACCTTTGAGAATCCCTTTTCGCCACCGCCATCATGGGTCTCACCTTCTCCAAGTTGTTCGACCGCCTATGGGGCAGAAAGGAGATGCGAATTCTGATGGTCGGTCTTGACGCAGCCGGAAAGACCACCATCCTGTATAAGCTGAAGTTGGGTGAAATCGTCACCACCATCCCCACAATCGGTCAGTCACCCTCCCCTTCTCCTCCGGGGCCGTTCTCCACCAGTTGGCTTGGTGCCTTGTCGCCGCGCAGGGTGTATGGTAGGATGGGATTGCTGACATGCTGCCACCCGTCGTGAAGGTTTCAACGTCGAGACTGTCGAATACAAGAACATTCAGTTTACCGTGTGGGATGTCGGTGGTCAGGACAAGATCCGTCCTCTCTGGAGACACTACTTCCAAAACACTCAGGGTATTATCTTCGTCGTCGATAGCAACGATCGCGATCGTATTGTCGAGGCCCGGGAAGAGTTGCAGCGCATGTTGAACGAGGATGAACTCCGTGATGCTCTTCTCCTTGTTTTCGCTAACAAGCAAGATTTGCCGGTATGATATTACTTTGATTCTACTGGACATTAGTTGGGCGCGGATATTAACACTGTTTCTCTCTAGAATGCCATGAGCCCCGCCGAGATCACCCAGCAGCTTGGTCTGCAAAGTCTCACTCGTCGTCCTTGGGTAAGTCTGCCTCGGTCCCCTAGACCCCCACAAGTTGGATCAACTTCTAATGTCTATACGTGTAGTACATCCAATCTACCTGCGCTACCACCGGTGACGGTCTGTACGAGGGTCTCGAGTGGCTCGCCGATGCTTTGCGGAAAACGAACCGTGATTAAATTGTTATAATGCGATGAGCGGAAGAATACCTGGATGTGTGACTGGGAGTTGGGGATGATGGATGGGGGCCGAACCGGAAAAGACACCTCGCGTAGGGATGGGATATGCTACTTGGTGGTGCTTGTATGTTCTCTAACGGCTCTTCATTCTTCTATGCTATTTAGCTTTTATTGTTCTCTTTCATCCCGGCGTCGATCCTAACGAAATACTCCTTTTGTGCCCTGAAACCTCATATCTTTCATTTCTTTTTTGGTCTCCTTGTGTTCTCTTACAGTCAAGACTTGATGTTCATGATCACGGAGAACGGGTTTACGCTCCAGACGTCATATGTATGTCGGCGCATTTTATCTGTTTAACTGAAAATGTAGATTTTGTGGCCTGTAGGCTCTTGTTATCCTTCAACTGCATCTATCTAGTACTGATCCCTTTCAACCGACCTCGACAAGACCGATGTCTGTTCATCTACACCGCCAATGCTGCTCAAACAAACAAAGCAAACGCTTGCACGTGAAAGTTCCTGGCTATAATCATTCTCATAGCTCCATCTCCCCAGATAAGCATACGTTACTCTGGCAAATATCTAGACAATGCTTCCCCTCGCACCCACCATGCCGCCGCGCGAATGATTTCCACTACACATCTCCGCTCTTCTTCAGTCCTCGGAGCATAGATCAGGACAAACCCGGACGGCACGGAGCGCCTCCACCACCACCAATCCTCTCGAGCAATCGGGTGTCTTTCCCCCCAACCTTTCTCCAGCACAAGCCGCACATCCACCGGGTGTAGCGTGAGATGCAAGCTCCCGTCAATCGGATGCGCATGGCAGACCTCCCCGTTACAGGTGAGTCGCTTCCGTTGCTGCTGCTGCTCTTGACGTGACAACGCAGCCGGGCCAAGCCTACAGAAGATTCCTGTACTATGCTTCTCGAAGCATGATGTCCCTGTGTAAAGTACGGAGGGGTGAGCATTGACGAGGCCGTGAATTTCCTTCGTCAGCGCTGCGTACATTTCTGCACTCGCCCTCTGGGTCGTTTGTCGGTGCGGTACGATGCCGACTACTTTAGGACGTGGCCCGGTGCGGTCTGGGAGATTGCGGCTTTTGAGATAGCCTTCTTGGGGGAGGAGAGTGCATGGGAGGGAAGGTGGTGCCAGGGGGTTTCGGACGGCGAAGGGCCGCAGGATGCAGATCTGGAGGTACCCTGCTGGGGTTGAGGGTACTCCTCCAGGGCCTAGAGCTAGGTAGGCATGGTAGTCTTTTCGGATGTGATGGGCTAGAAAGATGGTTGGGAAGAGGAGGAGTGGGAGGAGGATATCTAGAGGGAGGTTGAATTTGGCAGTGGCTCCCACTGGGGTTGGAATTGCTAGGGGGGAGAAACCATTTGCCTGGAGATCTTAGTTTGGTTTTGGCATTCACTAGGAGAGGGCTGTATACACTGGGGGATGGGTCTCGCAGGGAAAGGTACATACCATGTTTGCTTTGGCTGTCTATCCTAGTTGTTGGGTGAGTAGTAGTAGTGGTATTGGGGATCGGCGATGCAGTGTAGCAGTGAAGTAGAACAATAACTAACCCTGGACTCGAAAGCTGGTTTTCCTCCTGCGTATGTGTTCGTTGTTCAGGTCACACGTGCCACGACTTTTGTTTCTAAATAAATCAACAACCGGCCCGATCATGCCGGCCGTGACATTTCCAAGGATATCGGTGAAGCATGAAACGTGGACAATCCCCCCGACATGGACATCCCTTATATACCGTTCTACTATAGAGGTCAACCTTTGGGTGACCTGGAGCTCTTCGAAAGGTATTGTAGTTGTATCCAATAGGATTCCGTCAGTCTGATGTCAGCAGGATTGGTGATAACCACATGACCGCTAAACGGCATGCTAATTGACTCGTCACGCTCAGCAAGTCGATATGGCTTTGGTCGAGACTTGTTGCAAGCTACTGTGGGGACTGAGCGAGATGTGGGCCCTCTTAACGGCGTCATAGAGTAGGGAAGTACCACTCCTAGCGCATGCCCGGAAATGGTAAGCGACCTCCAAGTTTTCTTCCCCATTTAAAGGCTGCGGATCATCTGCTCATGGCCTTCTCTGTAGCTCTATATGATGATACTATACTACTGCTTACAAGACAGTGGCTTCCTCTCTTTTTTCTTTTTTTTTTTTCGCTATCGCTGGGAATCCCTTGCGGACTGGTTTCTCCCCTTCAGCGACGCCTTTTACGTTTCGACTGCGATTGATCGTTAGGCGCCCTGCTATCTTGCATACGAGGCAACTCGGCGGCACATTCCCCCCTATTAGACTACACAGAACTCAAGTATCGATCTTCACCGACCAGTCAAGCCTAGCTTTGACCCCCGCGTGTGACATTTGGACGAAGCCCATAGGGTGTAAATACGTGTCATTCCTGTAAAACAATACCTCATGGCTTGGCGATCTATCGACAGCTGAAAAATGCTCGCTTTCAATGAGATTCACTTTGATAATTGGGTGGTAGACGCTCAGAGGTCTGAAGCTGCCGACGTTATTTGCAGGTCATATTGAGAATCGAGAAGGCGTCCGTTCGGGCTATAAGTCGGTCAAGCAACGGCGCTCGACTTGAGCCGACAGATGTTTGTGATATCCCGTCGGATTCTGTTGTAACACTACGTTGGCTGGAGTACCAGGATTGGTGATGTATATCTATCTATTTTCGTCATACCCCAACTCTTCTAAGTGACCAGGGAAGTATTAATACCGTGACCCCGACTCGTAGCGACGTACGTGCTACTGTCCTTGGTTACACGCTTTCTTCGCCCGAAGTTACGGCGGGCGGGTGTCTGCAGGAAAGTAGTACACCTTCTGTGCTTTGAGTCTTTGGTCGCCCCTGTCATGAGTATAACTTAGTGTGTCTAACGGTAGGTATAGTACGTAGCACTCACTATGGGGTTTATGATACCGAAGCAGAACCGCCACAGATGACCTTGACTGGTTTACTTGTCAAAAGTAGAGGAAATTGAGGTACGAAATGAGATACTTCCACCGTTGCGATCTCATGTCTCTCCCCAATGTCGCAGCTGCTTCGGAGACATGGCCGAAAGGAGTCGACCAAGAGGGAAGATGCTGTCTGTCTCTTTGTGCCCCTTCCAAGTCCAGGTACGTAGCAGCCATGCCTGGATGAAAAGGGAATAGTGCCATCCAGTTGAGGAACCCCCTTGCTAATCCGGATTGAGCCACGGGGCAAAAACGCCTTCCGGAAGCAGCATCGACCAGCAGGGATACTTAAAAAGTCGCGAGGGAGGAAACTGTCGACTCTCTCGCCAGTTCTTCATCCTTGCAGCCTTCATCCCCATGGTTGTACTACTCCTAGCCGTACTGGACGTACCTGACTCGATTCTTTCCATCGGTTCACAGCTGCCAAGCCGGTCTGGCCCGCATTAGCGTGCGTAAGCGTGGGATATCCCTTGGGCAACGCCGATTGGATTGCAATACTACTATTAGTAGTACTAGTAGTTGCTGGGGTCGCTGTTTTGTTTTTCTATCCCAACTTTGATGCGCATCGATCGACTGACATCCCTCGACTTGGTCACCGCCGACGGTCGAACCGCCAGGACTCTTCCATTCCTTCCCCGCATCCGTTGCGGCAGTCCAACCATTTGAACGCCACTGATCAATGCGCAAAACAGGGTCGCATACTGATCTCTAGGTTTCGATCACAGGAGGTATGTATGTACCTGGAGCGGCAACCTAAATCGTCTCTTCTTCATGCTTCTCTCAATGCTTATTCTCGACGTATAGTTCGATCCGAGGCATATAGACTCTCTCTCATTCCAGTGAGACGTCAACGCCGTCCCACACTGCCCATTCGACCTACCGCACGGTGACGTATTCAGCATTCCGTCCGATGTCCACCGATCCCTCTCAATCATGACGGGTAAGACGAGGAGGCATGCCTCCGCCTACAACAGCCGAGACGCGGTGATAGATGTCGAAAAACAACCCTTCCGGCATAAACACCACCGACAACATAGCCACAGCTCGTTCGACTCAGATAGTGGTGACGACTCTGTGACCTCCTCCGCTGCTTCCTATCAACCCATGCTCGACGGTCCCGCACGCCGCCGTCCCCGGCCCGTGACAGGGTTCTATCGCGTGCCCAATCGGATCATGAGACGACTTTGCTTTGGGTTGTTTATCGCGCTCGTACTCTTCATCCTTACCCTCTTTCGATTCACAATCAGATCCTCCGTTACCCAGGTCCCCCTCGAAATCCCAAAGACAACGCCAAAACCGCCCCAGTGGGAGAGTTTCCCTTTTCTAAAGCGGTATCATGGTGGGCTGCGGTCCCTGGTGCCGCGAAAAGGCCAGGTGCCTGAATACCCGGGTGACAACCCAGATGTGATGGGATTGGGAGGTGATGCCGAAGCGAATGTAACAGGCCTCCAAGCTCGGGATGAGGCTCTGCCCGTTTCTAGTTTAGCTTTCGATCCCTACCCCAACTACACCTCACCGGAATACATTGCAAAATATGGCGAGAAACGGGAATGCTTCTTAGACGAAAAAGAAACAATGCGCATTCCTCTGGTTCATCACTATCCTGGTGTGCCTCGTGGGTTTCCAGCAGCAGTCATGGGCTCAAATGAAGAGATAGGCATTCAGGATGATGTCTGCTTTGATCGCTTTGGCCGCTTAGGTCCTTATGGGCTGGGATACAGTGTCAGGAAAGGTGGCATTGGTGCTGGCTTGGAGGGCCACCGAGAAGGCGCGGAACATGTCTGGGATGAATATCCACCAGTGGACTTTCGCAAAGTCGACTGGGCTACCGCTCAGAATCGATGCCTGGTAGCAAATGGTCATCGCTTCAAAGACCTCCCACAACCGCGTTCGAATCGTTTCCTGTCCATGCCAATTGGTGTTCGTGACTTAAATGACAAACCTCTTGAGGCTGTTCCTGTCGATCCTGAGCCGCCTCAAGCGGGGACAGGGCGTTTGGCTAGAACAGCGGTTATTATACGGACCTGGCACGACTTTCATTATACTCCCGAGGATATATTGTATCTGCGATCGTTGATCTCCGAGCTCTCTCTGCTTTCTGGTGGCGAGTACACGATTCACTTTTTAGTGCATGTCAAGGATGAGAATCTCCAAATCTGGTCCGATGATGAGACGTATGAGCGGGTGCTAAAGGATGCCCTGCCAGAAGAATTCCGTGGCATGGGTACTCTTTGGTCAGAGCGACAGATGTCCCTTCTGTATCCCGGACTGGAAGAAACATGGACCCGGGGGCTGCCCATTCATGGCGTATACCGCAGCACCCACATGCCCACGCAGTATTTTGCGCAGCAGCATCCGGAATATGACTACTATTGGAACTGGGAGATGGATGCGCGCTACACTGGTCACTGGTACCATCTGTTCGACAAAGTTGCGAGCTGGGCGCGGGCGCAGCCACGGAAGGAGTTGTGGGAAAGGAATGCTCGCTTTTTTGTTCCCGATGTCCATGGAACCTGGGAAGATTTCAAACACATGGTACGCGTGCAGACTGAGATTGGCACCAACAGCCCTAACAACTTATGGAGTGCGCCCCGACCCGGGCAAGACCAGTCCTCAGGGGATAAAGCTCGTCTCCATCAGCAGGGAGATAAAGCTGTCTGGGGTCCGGAGCGGCCTGACGAACGCGATATCCTTGAAGTTGAGGGAGAAGGGATCCCGCCGACCACGATGGACAAGGATCGGTACGATTGGGGGGTCGACGAGGAAGCGGACTTGATCGTTTTCAACCCTCTCTACGACCCCGAAGGAACCAGTTGGCTCCTTCGCGACGACGTGACAGGATACAACAAAGAAAACGGTATGCCCCCGCGTCGTGCGGCTATTATCACCGCGTCCAGACTCTCGCGCAAACTGCTCCACACCATGCACCAGGAGATGGTTCACAAACGCCACAGTATGTTTTCCGAGATGTGGCCCGCCACCACCGCCTTACACCACGGGTTCAAGGCAGTCTACGTGCCCCATTCCGTCTATATCGACCGGAGATGGCCGACTAAATACCTCGAGTCTGTGTTTAATGCAGGCCGCAACGGCGCATCGGGCGGTGCCAGAACATCCATTTTCGGAGACCGCGAGCACAACTTCAGGGGTACTACGTGGTTCTACTCGGCCGGATTCTCACCGAACCTCTGGAGACGCTGGCTGGGCTACAAGGTCGACAACGACGGCGGCGAGCTAGCTGAGCTAGCCGGTGAAGGTAGAATGTGTCTTCCTCCCATGCTTCTCCACCCTGTCAAGGATGTGGAAATGATCATCGACGACGGTGCCAAGGAAGGCGAGTAGTGCATGTACCTTGATAATTGCACTTTGGCTTTGGCTTTGGCTTCTTTAATGATTCAAGATAAGATATATGTGGCTTTATGTTTTTCAACGATCTTGTGTATATGTGTGACGTATCTGGTTTTGTGGGCGAAAAGGGGCGTTTGATTGCTTAGG